AAAGTTTTGGTTCGATCCCTATATTTGCACGTTACTTTTCAAAGGAATTTAAATATTTTCATTTTTGACTCATCCTGCATTTCAAATTAGTTTCATAGTCGATTATTGAGGAAAGTCAATTCGTTTGAAAGAGATAATTAGGGTTGATAATTCAAAATAAAAATAAAAATTCTACATGTATACGCATGTGTATTATTGAGTAACCTGTGAAATAAATGTTTACTAATGAAAAAATTGACAATTCAAACTTTTTATAAAGTATTAACCAACTCCCCTAATAGTTTTCATCAATAATTTTTATTTGTATTTTGTAAAGGACGTAGACAATACATTAAATGCGCGCTGTTAAATATCCTGCGCATGACATGGATTTTATAAATTTAAGTAATTTAAAAAAATAAATTAAAAGAATCATTGTCTTGGATAATTATTTTGTGAGATAATATTTCTCTTATAATGTGAGATAAATGATGCAATCCTAAAATGATGTAGTTTTGGAATTTAAAAAAAATAATGCAGGGTATTTTATTAAAATACATAATACAAGATAAAAGTAAAATTTTCAAAATTTTCTATATTTTTTTTCTAAATCCCAAAATGACGTCAAACAAGAGATAAGTTTATCTCTAGGAGAGACACTTTCCCCTTATTTTATTCTGTTTAGTTTTTCATTTTATAATTAATACTCTTGATTTCACTCTCGGTTTTCCTAATTTTTAATTTTTATTAGTTACAAATAAAATATATTTGGACACTTTCTAAATCTACTTAATCAATTCTATACCAGTATCTTAATTATTTATTTTCTTATTCTACATTTATCTGCTTAATTAAAAATCAATTTTTTATGAATAAAAATCGGCAGATATATATGCCTAAAAATAATTTTCCACTAGAGAGTTATCACACTCAAAACTCAAAACGTTGTTCGTTCTCGAGCTACAAACATATTCCTCTGACTTAACTAACATCAATTCAGTAATTTTTGTATCGAAGACTATTGTAGAGATTCTCCATATTGTTGCAGCATTGCTACAATGCAGTTGCATGTAATTGTTGACCTTCATCCATCATCCTCACTTTAACTTCAGTATTCTTTGTTAGCTTCATCTTCTCAAGGCTTCATAACTTTTGAATAGATCAGTTTGTGTGAGATAGGAACTTCCTTTTCAGGTTGATCCACCTTATGTAAAAATAGATTTAAAATATACCATATTTTGTCCAAGAATGGAGATATAGCAGCAGTATTGCAATAGATGAAGGGAAAGGAAGAATCACATCAAGATTTATCCTGGTTCCCTCTCTAACCACTTGAGAGCTACATCCAGACGAAGGTCGTCAATTCCACTATGTTCTAGCTTCCATCCAGTGCCAGAAAAATCATTTTACAATGGAGATTTTACAAGATCTATGATCAAACCTTTGATCTCACTTAACCTATCACCTATAAGGTCTCTCCAACAGTCAATAATGAATTACAGCAGTCCAAATTGTTCAAACAACAAAAGAGCAATCTCTCATTGTTCAACATAAAAAGAAAGATCTGAAAAAGATCAAGAGATGAGAGAGATATTGAGCTTTTCCTCAAGGATGTCAAAATATAACCAAATTGGTGTTAATTCTTTCAAGTTCTAAGTTCTGATGTGTTTGTGTGTTAATTCTTATTTGTGAACCCTCATTGGTCGTTTATATAGGTGTATGAATGATTAGATAGTCATTACACCTCCAATTTTTAATTAGGGCTCCATGTTTGCAAGCAAGTTGAGCTAGTTGGTGTTTTGAAATCATCAACACTTCACATCTTGGTCTTGGTGACCTATGATACAACATAATACAAATTGAAACACTATAAGTATATGATTTATGAAAAGATGAGCTCAAATGATCAAATATGTGTTATACAAGTGTATAATCAATGAAATCTTTTAAGAAAGGCTCAAGGAATAAATCAATAGTGTCCTAGATTGGTTGGAGGCGCAATCAATGAGTATATATAAGTTTCCAATAAAAATAATTATGTTTAGTCTTTAGGAAGCTTACTAGCTAGTAAGGATCTTAATCCTTACTTTTGAGAACAAATGATTTGAATCATTTTGTGAGAGATTTGATTCCTTCGTGGGGAATTCGAATACTCCATTGAGAACAAGTGAAAAATGACCAGAAATAGATTTTTTTCACTATCTTTAAAACATGTTGAAATCATTTTTCAAACTTCTTTGACTCTCATACAAGAATTTCACAAATCAAAATGAAATCAATTCAAAAAATCTTTTCATGCGCATTATTGACTCTTTTAAAAAGAATTATCACATTTAGCATATGTAGGTTATTTCCTTTGTTAGAAAAGCATGCCAATATGTTTCGTATAAGAGTATGCAATTTTGAAAGATTATGCAATGTTAAGCTCATGCACAACAATATCATATACACCCTTACTTATAAATCTAATTCATAATTATATACTTATTTAAGTGTTTTGGACTTAGCTTCTTACATTGATTCTCAAATCTTGATCTTCACTTGAACTTGATGATTGAATTGTTGATTTTGCAATACTTTGATGCTTTGTTAGATTTGGTCATATTTTACCATGACTTGTGAAATTAAACTTTTCCTTTAAGTTGTCCATGGTTTTGTGTTTGATCATGGTTTTGTTCCTCTTATTCTTCCTTGTTGCTCTTGATTCATTTCTAGTTTTCTTCATAGCTCATTCATACCCTTGCCACTTTAATATCTTATTACTCTTTTTGCATGGCTCCATTATGTATCTTAAATCTCCACATATGGTTAATGCATTGTGTTCTCGATCAATACTCTTTTCTTGTTATTATTATCTCTTTGTTATCATCAAGACATATCTTATATCTACATAAATGAGGATATAAACCATAATTTGAGCATGTTAGGTATATGAAATGAGATGATGCATTAAGGTTATTGTGCAAAATGCATTCTAAGTCTAATTGAAAAAATTTATAGAAAAATAACATGACATGCAATATTATTTGGAGTTGAATGTTGTTCAGCATATAAGTATAAAATGATAGCAGCAGAAATAATGATGTTAAAATCGATATAATCATACAAGGATGAATAAGATAAAAAATAAATATGTTCAAACAAAAAGTTGTAATGGTAACAGTGGAAAAAAAAGGGATAGAACATACATTGAAATTGTTTGGGCATACTCTTCGAATACCCATAGACCCCTATATTAACGGTTTGTCTTATAATAGAGTGGAGAAGAGTCATTAACATTATGAAATGGTAGATATGTTATCTCCTATATTCTACGTGGCTCTTCTAAGCCTTTCCCAATATTTATTTTTTTCCTTAATTTTTTCTTGCTTTTTACTTAAATTCATCTATAATTAACCTAAGTTTGGTTGGGGTAAATGATTTCGATATTGGTTTTTGATTTGATATTATACCTTAAAAAATATCATATAAAGTAAAATAAATAAATAAAATATGTTTCTCATGTTGTATGAGACAAAATTGTCTCATGCAATACACAAAAAAATGAATGAAACCCACTAAGGATAAGAGATAAAAAGAAAAATAAAAGTCCATCCATTTTTTGTATGTGCATGCGTCAAAATTGTCCCAGGCAACATAAGAGACATATTCTTCAGTAAATAAAACAATTATTATTAGAGTTTATTAACATGTATATAATTTTAAGGATAAACTCGATATACAAGGTTCTCCAACTTTACGAGGATAAGAATGAGGGATGATTGTACGCAATATTACTCTTATATTTTTACAAAAAAGTTGTTTTCCTGCCCATGACTAGTGTTATTAAACTCGACGGTCATCGACACAGTCGAGGTACTGGGTCATTGGTCAGACCGGTAGGTCATTGGTCGGACCGATTGACGCGAATATATATATATGTAAATATATATAGAAATATATATAAATATAAGAGGTAGGTTATACTTACAACATTTTCTTTTACAACCTCTTACAACCATATCTTAACACCGTTAATTTTCGTCAATCAACGGTTATGATTTTCGCAAATTAAACTCATCAATTAATTATTAATTCACAATAAATGATAACCATTGATTGGCGAAAATCAACAGTGTTAAAATACGGTTGTAAGTATAACCTTCCTCTAAATATAATCATATAAATTTTATTATATTTTCCATATCTAAAATGAGTTAAATAAGGTTCACTAAATAAGTTCAAAATTTACCAAATCACACTTTTACAAGTTCATGAAGCACAAATAAATGAAAACGCACGCTATTACAGTGTCAATTTAAATTGCAACTCATAATCCCTGTAAGCATACCTCTCGATAATATTCAAAAAGTCAGATTTTGTGAACTCATATTTTTTAAATTCATCTATGTTAAAATGACATACGTAACATTCTCTTAATTCTTTCGCAAATTGCTTCAGTATTGGAAGCTGAAATTTAAGGTTATTGTAGAATAGTGTACTACTAGTATTAGCAAATAAAATTATAAAAAAATTTAAAATGAGTTTTACATTTGTTTAAACAATTTTTTTTTTTATAAAAATACATGACCCGACTGGATCACCGATTTTGACTGAATTTAGTCAAATTTGATCGAATCCGGTGTGTGGTCGATCCAATACTTGACTCGAACCGATGCAATAACAAGTTGGTCGGATTCTTCGGGGCGAGTTTTATGAAACTGCCCATAACCTACGGGTCACCGTAATGCATCTTGGTGTATCTCCAATGCTTCCCCTCTTAACAAATCTATAATTATTAGGTAATTAATATTAGTATTAAATACCTTTAATTATATAAAATATATTTTAAATTTTTTTAATATAATAAATTATTAAATTTTTATGCTTTTATGTTTTTTTTTTCACTGGGCATGTTAACGAATATTGGAATTACCGAATTAGTATCATTATTATTGCACACGATACTGAAATAATTTACATGTAAATTTACACCTACATATATATACTGGATGATTAGATAGGTAATGCTTTTGTTTTGGTGAGATTCTTGTGCGGGTTTTTAAGATCTTTCCTCCTCAGATTCATGGCGGCAACCCAACCCCCAAAGGGTCCGGATCGTACCACCGGTACGTGAAAGTATTTAACTCCTTTACTTTTGTTACTATTATTACATGGAATTTTGATCTTGACCTTCCTCAAGCTCGTCAATGACTAAATTGAGATAGTTGTATAATTGTTTAAGATTTCAATAAAAATTTCGTATTAGGTTGTAGTTGATGTTTCATGTCCATTAATTTCTATTTCTATTTCCTTTTTTAACCTTTAATTTGGTTAATGCAAGAATTGGGAGTGTTGATCTGGGAAATTTAATTTTCTGTGTAATGAATGACGCTATCACAAATTCGTTATCAGAAAACACAGAAGAATTATGGACGCTTGCTGTAATCCCTGATGGGAACATCGTAGTATTAGTCAAGCGTTTCGGGGAAAAAAAATAAAATCTGTTTGCCGTACTTGATAGCTTAACTGCGATAATTCAGTTACGAACTAGTTTATTTGCTTGCTAATTATAGTTGGGGTAAAGCCCCCTCGAATTCAAGCATCCCCTTCTTACTCATTTGATAATCATGGCCTAAATTGTCAACGGCCGGGGAAGACTACAACCGGAAGGGTAACTTTTTTCTTTTTTCCTTTTTTAAATTTTTGTGGGATCTAGGATACTTCATTTTATGCTTCCATTCCTTTCAAGCATTACAGTGAGGTTATTGACATGCCTGCTTTCAATTTGAAAGTATATTTGTGTTCTCTATTAATCATGTGTCCATATTTTTGCACGGCGTATTTGTATGCATGTAGTTATTAATTCAAGCTTTTTTATCTCCAAATTTAGCTTTGGTTGGTCAATAATTGTACTGCCTCTGTTTCTAAGACTATACTAAGTCACCGAGCATACTGATCATGGATGCAGAAGAGATACCAGCTGAACCAGATAACATGAAGGATCAGGTAGTGGTTAATCCCTAACCTCTATGTTTTCTTAATTGTTCTTGTTGTTTTTATGTGTATATATATATATATATATTATTTTTTATTTTTTTCTGCCCATTTTTTCAGCTTCATTCATCAATACCTGAGAGTTCAATATCTTCTAATTCTTCTCAGGGTACAGCAACTATAGGTCACTCACGGGAGACCACAAGTCAATCAGGATATTTTGGTTCTGGTGGAGATCGTCCTCTGTACCCTCCTAATGTGTATGCTCCCCAGGCCCAGGCTTTCTACTATAGAGGTTAATCTTTATTTCTCCATTTCTACAAGTATTTTTTCTTCTTTGAAAGGGTTATGTATGATATAAACAAGTTAGACATATAATAAAATCATTTATGTGGCTTCACGTAATACAAGGTTTTGGAAAAGTTGGTTAATGACATGATATCAAGGGGCCTAGAGTTTGATCCTTGCCACCCCGATTCTTCTAATAACAAAAAGTTGAACTTCAGTATAATGTAGGTGGATCTGTTGCATTAGGGGGTTTGTTAGATCTAATATGAATATGTCAGATATATAATACAACCATTCATGTGTCTTCACCCAACAGTTTAAGTTTTTCGAAGAGTTGATTCATGACATTATAACTTGAATATATTGTATAATATTAAGGTTATATATTAATGTAGTTTACAGTATCCTAGAGGATCTCTTATGATTAGTTCCTCTATTTCCTCATATTTCACGATTGGTTTCCTTATTTTAGGAGCCCCCTATTTAGTGTAAATAGGCATTAATGCTTTGTCTTTCGTATCACATCATAACACATCAAATCAAATCTAATTTCATTTTAATCAGTTATTATTCTCTCTTGTCATCCTTTCATACCTAAATCTCTATAATTTCAACATGGTATCAGAGAGGTACCATCCTCCATTGTGCCTTGCTGTGCATCATGATCGCATGCCAGGAAATTTGTGCATCTTTCTTTCGAATATTGCATGTTGCCACTCCTGAACATTTCCATCATTCCTAAGTTTTCTTTCTACCTATGGTTTATGGAGTCTACATTATTTTTCAGGATTATTTTCTTTTACTGAGTTCATTTGTAACAAACTTAAAGCTTAGTATAGAAATTACAGACAATTGCGGGAATATGCGGCTGATGCAAACAGAATTATGGTTACGGACCACAATTTAAAACCTGTTTTTTAAAACACCATCTTAACAAATCATATGGTCCATATCAATCTAAAATCTAATTATTCAAAGCCTCCATTCTCTCTTTTTCTCCATATAATTGGCATCCATTTTTGCTAACCTATTATTGACATCTCAGTTTCTATCATTTTTTTAATTCCTTAACCCTTAAGCCTGGTTCAGGTGCTCTTGCAAAAGTTATTGCCAATCCATTGGATTAAGAGAAAAAGTATACGGTGAATTTATACAGAAGGTGTCACCAGCGATGTAACCTTTTAGTAGTTTCTAATCATGATCAACCATATAAGACCCAACAATCATATTTGCTCCTCATCTCTCATTATATATATATATATATATATATATATATATATATATGTTTGGGAATCTATGCTGCGTTGTTGAATTTTAATTTTTTTTGGACTTGATGAAGTGTGTCTTGATAGTCAGTTTGAGTTTTCCAAAGTGTGTGAGATTTTGATTGAATTTCAAATTCCTTTGAAGAGAATGGAGGAACTCTGTTCTTTTTATGTACATAATTTAGACACATGTTTCTGGACACCTTTTTCCAATTTTTGTTGTTGTTTTATTTTTCCTTTATTCATCAGCACCAGTGCACCCTATATCATCATCAGAGAAATTTTCAAATTGCAAAGTAGAAATTAACAATCAGAATCTCAATTGTCTTTTGGTGCTTTTCTATTTAAATTGTGCCTTGTCTTATTTTGTGCAATAGTTGTATGGAGTTGCTATTTTCTAATTTTTGGCAAGTTTGACTCCAGGTTTTGACAATGGCAATGGTGAATGGGACGAATATCCTTCATATGTCAATTCTGAGGGATTGGAAATTGGATCTCCTGTGAGAATTTGACATCTCTTTCTTATTCATATGCAGTTTCTCTTTGTAATACTTATAGTATATATATAATTTGTTAACTTTTATATTAGGGTGTCTACAATGAAAACCCATCTCTTATTTTCCATTCTGGATACGGCTTCAACCCACAAATGCCTTATGGACCATATTCTCCAGTTACCACACCTTTGCCTTCTGTAGGTGGAGACGCACAATTATACTCCCCTCAGCAATTTCCATATACTGGACCACCTTATTACCATCAGCTGGTTCCTCCTAGCTTACCATATCTTAATACACCGACTCCGGTTTCGCAGCCAGACCTCACCAACCTGGTTGGCATTGACCAACAAGTTGATAGCATGTTTTTTGGACCAAGGGCTGGCTATGCCTCGTTGGGATCTTTTGGTAGAGGCAGCTTTCCTATAGCACCTGGTTCCTTCAGTTTTCATGAACCCCAACAAGGATTTGATGGATCAAGATCTGGTGGAATCTGGTCAGATTGCTCAAAACCCTCAGAAATGCAAAGGTCTTTGATGCCTCTACCATCATCTGTTTCTCCGCAGCCAATTGAATCGCATGGATCATTTGGGCTGAGTGTTGGAATGGTTTGTTCTATTACTTGTGCATAATCATACAAAATACTGCATTTTATAATCATTAAGTTTTGAGCTCTAACAGAAAGAGATAAACCCAAAAGTGAAGAATGGAGTATATGTCTTCTTCAGACATTAAGCTCTGGATTTTATTAAGAGAGCTTGTTTTACAAGCTTTTATAGCTGTACAAAATAATATAAAGTAATAACACATAAAGTTAAAGTTACAGAACTAAAACAATAAGATGAATGGAAACATCCCTATATATTTAACACTATGAATGGAAACATCCCTATATATTTAACACTATCCTTCAAGTTGGAGCATATATGTCATATGATCCAAGCTTATTATAGAAATAACTAATTTGATGTCCTCTAAAGGATTTTTTGAAGATGTTAGCAAGCTTGTCATTTGAGTTTACAAAGGTTGTGATGATGTCACATGAATAGATCTTTTGCCTTATAAAATGACAATCAATTTCAATATATCTAGTCTTTCATGAAAGATAGGGCTTAAGGCAATATGTAGGGCAACCTGATAATCACACACAAGGGTCATTTGTCAATATCTCTGAACTGAAGTTCTTCAATCAACTATTTTAATCACTCAAACAATGTTATAAAACTCGATCCGGTCATCGACTCAGCCGGGGTAGTTGATTAGGTTACCAGGTCACTAGTTGAAGTGAATAAATATCTACAAGAAAAATGCAATGGCAAAAAAGGACTAGAAGTGGAGACAAACAATGAAGATTGCAATTTCATCAAAAAGGAGCTGCTATTACTTAGAGATTCTAGCTTTTATTTGTGTGGCTACAACCTTCTCCTACTTTACATTTCTACCATACTGTAATACGCACTTCATCATCAAGTCATCAATACTTCTTTCGGAATTGGTATATATCAATTTATTATATAGTAGAGCCTCAACTTGGGACAGGGTTTTGGAAGATTAAATTGCTTTATTCTTCTATGGATTTAAGTTTTGGAAGAAATGCACTCTAATGTCCTAATATCTTGCAAGAACATGACAAGCCCAAAACCAAAAACATGAACCACATATTCAAAGTTCAATAACATGGTGTTTGACTTGACGTATCCATGGATTATCACAGGGAAAATCCTTTGGAGAAAGACCATTGTCATGAGAACAAACTTTATTGATCCCCATAGCTTTTTCACATCTCCATTTAACATGGTTCCTCGGTATACAACCCCGACTCCTCCCCTTCCTATGACATTGCTTTCCTTTACGCTCCCTTAGATAAATTCATTTCATATTCCACTTTTAAAACACTATTAATGCCATCTCTTTTCATTCAATAAAGTATTTATGTACGTAATCCCCTTTTATTTGCATTTAGAAGTCCCACACAGGCCTGAACATAAATAAATTCACTCTTTATAACCTTATTTCAATATATATAATAGTAAACTTGGTTGCCCCATCCAAGATGGACTACATGTGACTCTTAACTTGGGTTTGGTTGAAGTCTCCCTAGTTTGTTTTGAATGAGTCAGTTGCCGGTTTATATGAAAATCGGTCAGTTCAAACCGGTTCAAATACATATCCGATCTAATAAGATACTCACACCGGCTACATGACCGATTCACCGGTTTCTAGTCAAATCAGCTGGTCCGAGTCGAGTTTGATAACACTACTCAGGTCAGGTTGCAGCAACCATAATTTTATAATTTGCTTTAGCATCGGATTGGGAAACCACGTTTTTATTCTTAGTTTCTTTTACATGAAATCAGATTGACTCTAGTAAACACCTAGTACTCTGAAGTAGTTCCTTTATTAAAGGGTGAAACTGCCCGATTAGGATCAGCGTAGCTTATTACTTATGTCTATTACTTATTCTCATAGATAAGTCCCTTTTCTGGTGCTCCCTTGATACACCTTAGCATTCAAATCCAACATCCTAATGATTGTCACATGGACTAACAACATTGACAAGAAAGGAGATCTCCCACCAAGTCAGTGTGAGATAAATCAGTTTCTTAACCAATATCTTATACTTGTAGAATCATGTAAAAGCTCCCCTTGACCTAGATTAAGTTTAAAATTAGGTTCCATCAAAGTTTCAATAGGCTTATCATTTAACATGCTAGCCTCCTCAAGTATGCCTAAATCATACTTTGGCCCTGAGATAGCAATACGGTCCCTAGATTGAGCCACTTCAATTCCCAGGGTTTGTTTGAGCTGCTGAATATGCCTTTAATGACAACCAAATAGATACATTCTTGTCATAAATGACGATAGAACATTGAATGATTTTCTTCACTACGATTGATACCAAATTGTCTCACAACAGTGAACAGATCTTGCCATTTTTTAAGTAATTAGAGTTACAACTATTTTTCATTTCAATGCAAGAGTTCTAATGTGTTTCCACACCCCTACGAGAACCTGAAATATGGGCAAATTCCTTTGTTTAGGAACACATAAGATTTGTCACCACATAAAATGCTAACCCCACCGTTAACTATTTCAATTTAATAGTCTTGATTTCTTACGATTCTAGGCTTGCCTAAGTCCTAAGCTGAGCTTCTAGTTCATTGTTGTGGTCATGCATATTCCCTCGTAACATAATTTTTTAGTCAGCATTTGCACCTTGAGTGGTTGTTAGCTTTCTGAATGTCCTTATTACCCCTAGACCTCTTTCTAAAATATACCTTGAATGGTGGTGACGTGTCAGTTTGCTATGTTGACACTCCAAAGTCAGTTGATATTAGGAAATACTAGGGTGTCCTAGTCAAGCATGAATGATATTGGATGATTATATGGCTAAGCAAACACTAGATGAGGCTGAGAGTCGGGAGAGACCATGTTACTCACGCCTTGTACCAAAAATCCTTGGGTTGAATTTTTTATTTTATTTTTTTTGTTATTAGAAAATTGGAGTGGCAAGGATTGAACTCTCGACCATTTGGTCATAGGTTTTAATACCATGCTAAGCAACAAATTCAATTTAAAAGCTTAAGCTATTAAGTAAAAACACTTTTATTATTTTATATTAAACTATTCCTTAACACACACCCTTATAACGTTGAAACGTGGACAATTTATGGACTTCTTACACCAAGAACCCATTTTTTAGGGTTTGAAACTTGTGTTAGAAATAATATTAATTTATTATTATTAGAATCGTCTAGATTGTGGGCTTGGCCCATTAGGTCATCCCATTAGGTCTTTTAGTCTCTATAAATAGAGAGCCTCCTTCTACAGACTTACACACTTGAATATACAATATATTTCAGATTCAATTTGGTATCAGAGCTCTCGATCTGAGGGCTCTGCTTCCGCATATATATCTTTTCCTTTCTTTTTATTGTCGTGCATCATACCGGCAACCATCCTTTCACACCTAACCCTTATTTAGTCACAAATTTCTTGTCCTCAACCTCGTATCATCAGGAAAAAGATCGTCAGCCTCCGTTCATTGTCGGAAACCACCACAAAACCACCATCCGCCACTGTTCACCGCCGTCAGACTGCTTTTCCGGCGACTTTTCCGACCAACCACCACGCGATCAGGAGCGGCTCAGGGAGGCGACCCTGTCTGTCCAAGCCGCGTGTTGATCGGAGCATCCACGCTCCGCCACGCGCCGGTGGAAGTCTCCGGCGGCCGAACCACTGTTCCGGTGCGTGAGCCACCGTCCGGCCACCGTTCCAGGCCAGACCACCACCATCTTGCTCGCCTCCTCACCCTCTTTCCAGATCTGGTCTCCGTTCGTTGTGGGTCCCATCCGTTTGAAAGATATCAGTGAAAAACCCGCTGTTTGGACACTTATGTGCAATGTTTTTGCGCGATTTCTTGCTTTCTTGTAGTTCTTTGCTATTTTCTGGTCATCTCCTTTTATTTTGTGATGGAGGGCTCAAATAATGCGTCCAAAAACACGACTGGCATCATCTCCGGTACTACCCCATCTCCATTCTTTTCTCGGGCCAATTGGAACAGTGGACGCGGTCGCAGACGTGGCCGCAGACAGAGGCCTCGTTGCAATTATTGCCAGAATCTTGGGCATTTTGAAGAACGCTGCTATAGGAAGTACCCTCATTTGAAGCCACCGTCTGCCAAATTTGCTCAAACTGATGTTACGCCACCTTCAACTGGATTAGTAACTCTTTCAAGTGCCGACTATGAGGCATTTCTCAAGAAGGTTTCTTCTCAGCATCCTACTCAAGACACTGGTAATCATGTTGCTTGTTTTTATCAATCATCTCTTGGACCCTGGATAATAGACTCAGGTGCTACTCATCATCTTTGTGGTAATAAAGATCTCTTCACTTCACTTTCTTATTCTAATAACCTACCCCCTGTCACTCTTGCTGATGGCACTAAGGCTCCTGCTCGTGGAATTGGGGAAGCCAACCCAACTTCCCTTTTAACTTTGAGTTCTGTTTATTATATACAAATAAAGGGAGTTCAGAGATCTCTAGTTATTCAGATGCTGACTGGGCAGGTTCTCCTTCAGATAGACGATCCACCTCAGGGTATTGTGTTCTCTTCGGAGGAAATTTGATCTCTTGGAAGAGTAAGAAGCAAACTGTGGTCGCCAGATCCAGTGCGGAGGCAGAATATCGGGCAATGGCAAATGCAACCTGCGAGCTCATCTGGCTGAGTCAATTGCTGAAGGAACTCCATCTCTGTGAACAAAGGCCTATGAAGCTCATTTAACCAAGCCGCTTTGCATATATCCTCTAACCCAGTCTTTCATGAGAGGACCAAGCATATAGAAATTGACTGTCATTTTGTTAGAGAAAAGATCCAGTCAAGGGAGATCGAGACAGCATTTGTCAATTCCAATGATCAACTTGCGGATGTATTCACTAAAGCTCTTAGAGGTCCCCGAATAGATCATATTTGTAACAAGCTGGGAGCTTTTGATATATATGCACCAGCTTGAGGGGGAGTGTTAGAAATAATATTAATTTATTATTATTAGAATAGTCTAGATTGTGGGCCTTGCCCATTAGGTCATCCCATTAGGTCATCCCATTAGGTCTTTTAGTCTCTATAAATAGAGAGCCTCCTTGTACAGACTTACACACTTGAATATACAATATATTTCAGATTCAATTACTTGGAAATTAAACTTTTCACTAGAAGAATAAGGACGACAGGAATCGAATGCTAGACCCCTCCAATTGTTGAAGTTTTGATACCATATCAAGAACCACTTCAACCCAAAGCTTAAGCTGTTAGGTGAAGGCAAATGAGTAGTATAAAATTTTATATTACATTTCTATGACGTCCTTTTGCATAAAATCTCATTGGGTTTGAAGAGTGGACACAGATCCACATACCTGTACTAAGAAATCTCACAAGAAAAATATTTATTAGAAGAAGGGAGGCAGCAAGAATTGAACTTCAAACTACGTGGTCATAGAAGCTCTGATACCATGTCAAGAACCATTTTCTCCTAAAAGTTTGAGTTGTTGTAGGGACGACAATTCATGTCAGCGGACCGTGTATGTGCTCTCATTTCTTAGTATGTCCTTGATTATTGGCTTGAGAAATGAGAGCAAATGAAGGATCTGCATGAGAAGCGGACGGAGAGGTAGCAGGTCCAACAACCCTTAGCAAGCTGGACTAATCCTGAAAAATTGTGGGAACTGTAGGACTTCCTAAAATCTGGTCACATACAGCGGAGTATTCAGAGGGTAGACCATAAAGGGCTAGAAGCATGAAGAATGTGCTTTTGTGATCATATTCTTTTTCTGGAGAATTAGCAAAAGAAAGCAACTCATTAAAAGTCAGATAAGGCAGCTTGAATTCTACCCAAGCAAGTGGAAATCTTCCCTTCATTTTTCCGAGGAGCAATCGAGGACAGAAGGTCTGAGCAAACATTATACATTCGCTGCACATCATTGGCATACAGTTCCTTTGCTTGCTGTCACACCTTGTAGCAAGAATTATGGGGTCTGAAAATCTGTTTCAAGGAAAGGTGAATAGTTTATTTTATCAAACCACATAATTGAGTATAATTCTTTTTTCATCATTCTCTTTCACCATTTAAAATGTCTTCAGCCTTCTTGGTTAAGTGTTCAGTGTACCCTTGACCAAGAAACTACAATTCAATGTCTGAAGCCCAGGTAGCATAATTTTTCCTGTCCAGCTTGTCTGTAGGGATAGCTAAGGTGGTATAATTCATGAAAATGGGAGGATTAGTTTTGGAATCCTCTGTTGTAGGAGTGGTATCACTTTTTCTGTTTCAGGAGTTTCCGCTTCAGCCATGTCTGAAGCACCAGAAAGGACCTAGGCTCAGATATCCCTTTGAAATGGCTGGAAATACCTTTGAATAGCCTTAAAAGCAGCTCAAACAAAGGAAGAAGTGGATCAAACAGAGAAAGACTTGAATGGTTCTGAACAAAGTACAAAATGACTGGGAAACCACTTGATCAAGCTGGGAAACAGCCTTGAATAAGATCTGGAATCGATGCTGATGAAATCTGGGCAGAATGGCTGCCTCATGTGGTGGAAGGCAGCCAGTGCATGGAAAGAATGACTAACACATGCTGAGGAGATGATTGGAGCGGGAAGGCATGTGAGGCGTTGGTTGAGCAGAGGCGTTGGTTGGCGGCTCTGGTCCTGGGTTTTTCGGTTTGGATGCCTCTAAGTCGAACAGGAGAGGTTGTGAGCAAAGAAACTTCCCAAATTAAGGCTAGTATAAAGAGACAGTCACCACTGGTAAGGGTTCATGGTGAAAAACAGTGCTTGGTGGCTGCTGGCAATGGGCCAAGCAGGAAGGGTCAAAAGGAGCTAAGGTTATCTCCCTAAGTTCTGGATACCATATTAACAGCAAAAGATAAACGCAAATGTAAACAATGGAGGTCGTGTCTTGTTCAGACACTGCTCTGAATTTTATTAAGTAAAGAGAACTTGTTTTACAAACTTTTACAGCTGTACAAAATAATATAGCACATAAAGCTAATGATACAGAAATAAACCATAAGACCAAGGGAAACATTCTTATACCTAACAAACTCAAATGTATAGTAACTTAATTTGCTAACGTCTGTTTATATACAAGTCTATTAGTATCTTGAGCACCGTTGGCATTCATCAGAATCTAGATTTTATCTCATGGAAAGCAGTTTGACTGGCAATGCTTGTACTTATGTGAAAAGAAAGAAATTTTCAGTCAATTTTGAATGAATGAATTGGTAAAAGTGGGTTCTTAGATCTGATTTTTGTATAGCATCTTAAATCCAATGACCCAAAAAGTGATATTGCTTATTCAAAGAAATTTCCTAATTGTGGTTTTAAATGAGCATTTTACTTATCATCCATGCATTGCAAGTCTACTACCATCCATGGCAACAATGTGAAACTGTGGAACTTGTCAGAGAACAACACAAAATAATACATTGACACATAGTGCTGACTATACTGTTCTGTGCAGGTCTCGCATCAACAGCGATCATTGTATGGGTTTGGATCTGGTTCCAACTCCTATGGTAGAGGCTACCTGCCTAACCATGGTTCTAACTTTGGAGGCACTGGCATTTCCAGTCTTACTACTAATGATAGGAGCTTCCTTTCCCCTGATAATAGCAGACGGCAAGCCAAGGCAACTGCTTCTCTTTGCAATTATAATGGTACTCTTGATATACTTAGTGAGCAGAACCGAGGACCAAGGGGCTCAAAGATGAAAAATCAAATTTCATCTGAAAATAGTTCTGTTGATAATAGTAAAAAGAGTGCATCTACTGTCAAGTTCCAAAATGAATCACTCAACCGGCCAGATTTTGCCACGGATTACAAGGATGCCAGATTTTTTGTCATAAAATCGTATAGTGAAGATAATGTTCACAAGAGCATTAAATATGGTGTCTGGGCTAGTACACCAAATGGAAACAAAAAGTTAGATGCTGCATATCGCCAAGCAGAGGAGAAGCAAGATGCATGTCCTATATTTCTCTTTTTCTCGGTAATCATCTGATATCTTTATCTTCTGTAAGCACAAATGTTGCACTACCATATTCTTCCTATAGTTACTATAAATAAGTATCTCCTGTCCTGTGTCATTGCTACAAATCTTGGTTCACAATATTTTTTTCATTCTGTTCCCATTTGTTAAAATGTTATCATTTGTCACTTCTGATATGGAAGCACATTCTCCTTCTCTAGGACATTTGGCATTTATCCATCTCTAGGAAGATTGTGTCCACAGGATATGGTAATCTAAGCCTTGCTTAACCCTTTTAGCTTATAGTATTTCCTAGTTCTAATCCATAGGTAAAATGGGGATTATAGCCTTTCTCCTTCTGTCTCCTTAGGCTCATCAAGGAAGACTCACTCTAGATCTTCATTTTCTTCTGCTTATACTGAAAGGAGAGGAGCAAGCACGCTCATATTCTTCAGTTCCATTCTAATGTCTGTGCTCTGGCAGTCATCATATGAAAGCTTTCAATTAGTACCTGATGTCTCAAATTGGTGATCTATATTAGTTATGTTCAGTTTCAGTTGTTGGTGTGGTGTGTGGGTCAGTGTACATCTTATTCAGTTGCTGTGTCAAACCGTCAATTCCTGAATAAGAAATAGGAGTACCAGTAGAAGATGAAGGTGGTAATAGGAAGTACCCAAAGGAAAGCCTTTAGGGAGAAATTTTTTTTTATCCGGGAATCACGATTTCTAGGAATATGATGAGAAAATGAGTTTTCTGGAAATGTTACCAAAAAGTTGTTTGGTAGACTAAAATATTCGTGGGAATGTTGGGTTAATTTTCTTGATGCTATGTTTAGTTGTATTAAATTTTTCCTTGCCATAGAAATCCTAAAATACAACCCCCTGGATAGTATTCTTGGATGGTTTTTTCAAAAAAATTTACACACAAAATAAAATTCTGGGAAAATCAAATTCCCGGAAAATTTTTAAAAATCTTGTACCAAACGTGGGTAAATAAGATTATCACTTTCAGTTTTCCGAGAATCCCAAAAAAATCCTTGTACCAAACGGCCCCTTAGTATGTTCGTAGAATATATAATGAAAGTTTGGGGAAGAGTTCCTCATAGTTGAATATCTCTTCTATATATTCATACTAATTGCTGTCGGATGGAACAGACTCCTGGAAATATTGATACATAATTAAATTCATTTCCTCCTTAAATTTTTGTTATACTTTCGGATATTGTTTGTTCCTATCTTTTGTGCTGAGCTTCTAAATGTGTTGATGAGTGTTAGAGATATATAAAATCATTAATGTAACCTCACCTAATAGCTTAAGCTTTTGGGTTGAATTGATTCTTTACATGGTGTCAGAGACTCGGCATCTCGGGTTCGATCCTCGCCGCTCCCATTTTCTTTGTAGAATTTCTTAGCACTGGTAAATTGGGCCTAATACATCATCCACCTTTCAAGCCCAATGGGCTCTCTTGTGAGGAGGCGTGTTAGAGATATATAAAACCATTAATGTAGCTTCACCCAACAACTTAAGCTTTTAGGTTAAATTGGTTCTTTACAATAAGGATTAATGTTGTAAAGTACTACTGGACCTTATATATATGGCATTGTTTTGCTTTAGCTATAATTTTATTGGGTAGGACATTTGATATCCCTTGAGATTGATACTAGGTTTAATATTAGTAGTGAAGTACTAAAGTTGGTTTATATAATTTTCACTTTCTTTTTACCTTGCTATTGTGCTTCTTTCTCACATGACTCTCGCCATGAAAAAATATGTTACAACTTACAACTGAATTCAGGTAAATGCTAGTGCTCAGTTCTGTGGGGTAGCTGAAATGGTTGGACCGGTCAATTTTGACAAGAGTGTTGACTTCTGGCAGCAAGATAAGTGGAGTGGGCAGTTTCCTGTGAAGTGGCACATAATTAAAGACGTTCCAAATAGTCAGTTCCGTCACATTGTTCTTGAAAATAATGATAACAAGCCCGTGACCAACAGTCGAGATACTCAGGAGGTAGGAATGTGTGGATCTTTCACTAACTATGAGTTTGTGAATGATACTTTTACAGTTCACTGTTTTTACTCTTTTAAACGTGTCAGATTTAGGAGAAAGATAAATGAAAATGGTTAGTGTATCAAACAAAAGACTTCTGACAATTGAATGGTGAGCTGCTTCTTGTCTTGAGAAACCTTGTCAAACTTTTAGACAACCTAAAAATTATGTGTGTCTTGTTTTTTCGAAATATGTTGACATTTGTGTTTGAAATGACACTTGTGGGGCCTTTATTTCAGTCATCTCCCAAGTGTAATTTTTCTAACTAATTTTCTGTTGTAAATATTATTATTTATTTATTTGTTATTTGTTGTATTGGGCTTAGCCCATTAAGTCAAGTATTCTAGGTCGTGTATTCACTATAAATAGAGAATCCTTTTGTACATATAATTTACAATTCTATAATATATTAGAATACCCTTCTTCAAGTTGGTATCAGAGCTCTCGATCTGAGGGTTCTGCTTCCGCACATATTGTCTTTTTTTTAAACACAACCCTAATTTCTTTGCCTCTTGCCGCCATCAACCGCCACCGGAAAATTTTTCCGGGGACCTTTTGGACCAAGGGGACCTTTGTTGGCCTTTATTTTCTCCGATCTATCATTCTACGCACAGTTCCTCCGCCACAAACGACCCAAACACCTCCGACCGCCTCCAATCAGATCTGTCTTCACCGTTTGGACCACTTTCCGGCAACTTTTCAACCGCGACCATCCACAGACAGGTGCGCGCTCACCAGACGACCACGCCAGAAAAATTTCAGTCGGAAAATCCCCTTCACGCGCTCACACGTGCCAACTCTTTCCCGGCGAGTGAAGCCCACGCGCAGCCCATTTCTCCGGTGCGTGCGGCGGTTGTTTTTGACCGGACCACTGTCATTCTTCTCGTCTCCTTGTTCTCTGTCTGGATCTGTGATTATTTCACTGATCGGACTTCATTTGATATTTGTTTGGTTGATTTTATCGCTGGTTGTTAACTTTTTTATTGAAGAATGGTCGAGAATGACAGTTCTTTGATCTTATCTGGTAAGAGCACACGTTCTGTATCTCTTCTTGCTTCTTGCACTGATTTTAAAACCTCATGGATTTTGGATTCTGGTGCAACTGATCATATGGCTTGTCGTACTGAGTTGTTTTGTTCTTATCATCCTACTGTTGGTAGTCATACTATATCTGTAGCTGATGGATCCTATAAATCAGTTATTGGTTCTGGTAACATTCAAATTCAACCTTCCTTGTTTCTTAAAAATGTTCTTTATGTTCCTCAGCTTTCTACTAATCTTATCTCCACTCAAAAACTTACAACTGATTTGAATTGTTCTATCACATTTTTTTCTTCTCATTGTGTTATTCAGGATCTTACCACGAAGAAGACAATTGGAGTTGCTAATGAACAGGATGAGTTGTATCATCTCCTTCCAGACCATGCTAGCAAAAATCAGTTATTAATGACACGTCATCCTTCTACTGCAGAGTCTATGATTTGGCTCCATCACAAGCGTCTGGGGCATCCCCCATTTAGTCTTTTGAAGTCTATGTTCCCTTCTCTGTTTCTCAATAAGTCGGTTGAGACCTTTCATTGTGATGTTTGTGAATTTGCAAAACACCATAAAGTGTCATTTCCTTCTAGCACTATTAAAAGCAGGGAACCTTTTTCTCTTATCCATTCTGATGTTTGGGGCCCTTCTAAAGTGCACAGTGTTTCAGGTGCAAGGTGGTTTGTTTCTTTTATTGATGATTGTACTCGGGTAACATGGATATACTTGATGAAAGACAAGTCTGAAGTACCAGAGATATTTATTCGGTTTCATCACATGGTTAAGACTCAGTTTGGTAAGGGTATTAAAAGACTAAGATCTGATAATGGTACTGAGTACGTCAATCAACGTCTGTCACAATTCATTTTAGACAGAGGTATGATTCATGAGCTCACATATGTTGATACCCCTCAACAAAACGGGGTTGCTGAAAGGAAAAATCGTCACCTCCTTGAAGTTGCTAGAGTTCTACTTTTCCAGACATCTGTTCCTAGTTCTTATTGGGGAGAAGCAGTGTTAGCTGCAACTTTTTTTATCAACCGTTTACCTTCACGGATCCTTAACAATATCAGTCCTATTCATTCCATGACTTCCTTCTTTCCTTCTGTTCCCATATTGCAGAGCCTTCCACCAAGAGTGTTTGGATGTGTTGCCTTTGTCCATGTTCATAAACAACATCGGAGTAAGTTGGATCTTAGGGCTCTTAAGTGTGTCTTCCTTGGTTATACCCCTTATAAAAAAAGGTACAAGTGTTATCATCCACCAAGTCAAAAAAAATTTGTTTCTATGGATGTCACCTTTCAAGAATCTGAATCTTATTTTCTGGGTCTTCATCGTCAGGGGGAGAACAGTTCTTCAGAAGACTCGTCCCCTTCCTTCTTTGAGTCTGGATCAATCTTCTCTTTTCCTAGTGTGTCTGCTCCTGGTGTGTCAGAACCTTCAAATACACCTGAGATACGGAAAATTTTGACACCTGAATTGATATATCAGAGGAGGAAACAACCCATACTGTCTCACCAGCAACCTCAATCGTCTGAACCACTGGTAAGTTCTGAATCTCCTATTTCTTCTGAGTCTCCTGAATCTCCTGTTTCTGATTCTAATATTATTTCCTCTCATGATTTGTCTATTTCTTCTGATATCTCTAATGACTTATCCATTGCTTCTGCTTCTGATGACTTACCTATTGCTCTTAGAAAAGGAAAAAGATCTTGTCACAAGAAAACTTGTTCCTCCTGTCCCTCTTGTACTCAATACCCTATCTCCCACTTTGTTTCCTCTGCTAATCTTTCTGTGCAGCACAAAAGCTTTGTTTCAGCACTAGATTCTATTGCAATCCCAAAATCAGTACATGAAGCCTTGAAATATAGGAATTGGGCTCAATCCATGCAAGAGGAGATGAATGCGTTGGAGAAAAATAAAACATGGGAGGTTATTGATAGACGCAACGGAAAGAAAGCAGTAGGGTGCAGATGGGTTTATGCCCTGAAATATAATTCTGATGGCACTCTTGAGAGATACAAGGCTCGATTAGTGGTCAAAGGTTACACTCAAACCTATAGCATTGATTATGAAGAAACCTTTGCTCTAGTTGCAAAGATGAATACAGTGAGAATCTTGTTATCCCTTGCTGCCCATTACAATTGGGATATAAATCAATTTGATGTGAAAAATGCTTTCCTCAATGGTGAGTTAGAAGAAGAAGTCTATATGGAAATCCCGCCTGGTTTTGATTCTGTGAAGGGGGAAAATAAAGTTTGTAGATTAGAAAAGGCCTTGTATGAATTGAAGCAGTCACCTCGTGCTTGGTTTAGAAGGTTTACTAAGGTTATGATGACCTTAGAATACAGACAGAGTCAAGGAGATCACACTCTTTTCTTCAAGCACTCCCTAAATGGGAAGCTTACTGTGCTCCGTGTATATGTTGATGATATTATGATCACAGGTGATGATTTTATGGAGAGACAGATTCTGCAAACACGGCTTGCCTTTGAGTTTGAAGTCAAAGACCTTGGGAAACTGAGATATTTCCTAGGGATAGAAGTAGCTCATTCAAGCAAAGGAATTTTTATCAGCCAGAGGAAATATGTTCTTGATCTTCTCAAAAAGCAGGAAAGCTCGGGTGTAAACCCTCTAATACTCCTATTGAGCAGAATCACAAGATGAGCTATGAAGAAGAGAGTCCTCCAGTTGATAAAGGACAATATCAACGGCTAGTTGGGAAATTGATATATCTGGCCCATACTAGACCAGACCTAGCTTGCTGTTAGTGTTGTCAGTCAGTTTATGCACGATCCAAAGGAAAAACACATGCAGGCAGTAGAGAGAATTCTTCAGTATCTTAAAGGTACTCCTAGTAAAGGATTGTTATTCCGACGTGATGGCAATCTATCTTTAGAAGTCTACACAGATGCTGATTATGCTGGATCCGTGACTGACCGTCGTTCTACCACTGGTTATTGCATGTTTCTTTGCGGTAACTTGGTGACATGGAGAAGTAAGAAACAAGATGTGGTTGCCAGATCAAGTCCAGAAGCTGAATTTCGAGCTATGGCTCAAGGCATTTGTGAGTTACTGTGGCTGAAAATTGTACTTGATGATCTCAAAATAAAATGTGAGGGACCTATGAAGCTGCATGTGATAATAAGTCCGCTATTTGTATAGCTCATAATCCAGTTCAACATAATCGGACTAAACATATTGAGGTCGACCGCCATTTCATCAAAGAGAAACTTGATAGCAAGTTGATTACCACTCCATACATTTCCACTGGGCGTCAATTAGCTGATCTATTAACAAAGGAGCTTCCTTCAGACAGATTTCAAGAACTTACTAGCAAGCTGGGAATGATAAATATCTATTCCTCAGCTTGAGGGGGAGTGTTGTAAATATTATTATTTATTTATTTGTTATTTGTTGTATTGGGCTTAGCCCATTAGGTTAAGTATTCTAGGTCGTGTATTCTCTATAAATAGAGAACCCTTTTGTACATATAATTTACAATTCTATAATATATTAGAATACCCTTTTTCAAGTTTTTCATATAATTGTGATTCTTTACAGGTGAATGACGAGTTAGTTCAATTTAGTCTTCCATCCTAGGAATCATTTTCATGTATAAACTTACAAATGGATTGTAAAAATCAGTTTATTATGTGCTATTAAAAATTGCATACTACTTGCATCTATTTTTTTGCTCATTTCTGAATTTTAAAAATTTCAGGTGAAATTGCAACAGGGAATTGAAATGTTGACCATTTTTAAGAACTATGAAACTGATGTGTCCATCCTAGATGATTTTGATTTCTATGAAGACCGGCAGAAGGTTATGCAAGAACGAAAGGCAAGGCAGCAAAGCAGCATGATTGCCGTTGGATTAGTTGGAGAAAGTGAGCATAGGAGTTCTGCTAACGTTTCTGGTGATTTCATCAAGCAGATATCAAAGAGCTTTGCTCAAGTTGTCCGCTTAGATGAGAATAGCAATGAAGTCATTGTTGCAGATAGAGGTAATTTAGCCTCTGATGGCCCCATTGGTAAACCTGATGATGGCATTTCAGTGACCGCCTCTTCAACACAAACCAATTAGGAAGATGTACCACTCGTGCCAAGAATGTTGATCACATTTGGCAGGCATTTGATGATTGAAAATCGGAATCATGCTTTTGCTTTCTCTCATTAATTTTTTCAACAAGGTAGTGTTGCTGATGTTATCTCAGTCATTGGAGTCCATGGGGTTCCTAAATCATGTCGTTTTACATAAAAGAATGGGTTTCATGTAAAATGTTTCCTAGAGTGCTTCAACTAAATTGTTATCATACTTTTGCTTATTTGAATAGGTTAGATTTTAATCCCCTTCCCCTTTTTTTTCTTCTTAAATTTGAGTTCGGTTAGTTTGTTAGGTATGTCTCATTTGTAAAATTGTCATCTTTGCGAGCGTTTTAATAAAAGCAGCAATCACACCTTGAAAATAATTATCCTTTACGCATACCGTTCGGTTATAAATTTCCATTCAAATAAAATATTAATAAATTTCTTTTTTCTTTTTTTGGAAAATAAGAAAACTTAAAACAAAACAGAAAGTCCTACAAAGTGACCATCCTAGGTGTTGAGACACCCATCATGTGCTTAAGCACTAGGCGGAAATGCTAAACATGAAAATAAATATTAAATAAATTCTGAGTTGTTGTAATTTTAAATTATTTACACTACTACGAATTTTAAACTAAAGATTCCAAATCTTTAAGCCTTCTCTTTGTGCGTAATGATTTGATACCCCTTGCGGCTGTCTTTTTTGTACACTCCACTAACTTGCATATTCTACGATTGATTCTCTTGGATCGGACAATTGTATCATTTGAGGGAAACAATAAACTTCTATTCTCATTTCATTATGGTGAACACACACAACGTAGTGCACAACCACCACAACAAACATTGCAGCAGTAGGATCAAAACATGCAACAAAACACACAACAACAATTGCCAAACTCTAATCCTTCTAAAATAAATCACATCCATGTAAGCAAAGGTCAATCTGACACTGCTTTTGTCCCCCAGCCTAGCCCACCCCTCATTTTGCTGCTTACCAAGTTGACTCTGTCCAAGCTATAACAGCTCTTCTGATTCAATGATTGGACAACATGGAGTGTTGCCTTGCTAAACATCTGGGTGAAAATGCGGGGCAACACAACAATGGTCAAGGTCGAGTTGGAGAAGAACGAGTTAGAAAACACGAACCCATCACTAGCGATGCCCAGGGATAGGCAGTCATCCAAGAGTAATCTGTCCAAGAAGAAGATGATAACAACCCGTTCACAGGTCGTGTTATACATGCACCACTCCCCAAAGGTTGGCATCAACCTCCCTTGGCTCAAAATGACAGAGCAAAAGATCCACATGAACACCTGGACGCCTTCAAGATGACCATGTACCTGGCAGGAGCCAAAGACCCAATCACGACTAAAGTCTTCGCTTCCTTGCTCACAGGACTAGCCTTGCATTGGTTCAACGCATTACCACTACGCTCCGTCAAATTGTTCAGAGACTATTGCTACAATTCCTCCTGAACTTTGCCACTAGTACGATTCATCTGAAATTATCCCTAACTATATCTCAAATCTGACAGAAGGACGAGGAGTCATTTCATCATTGCCTGAATAGGTTCAATGCATATGCCTTACAGGTTTGTAACTTGGATGATAATGTGCATCTGCATCTCCTCATTTCAGACCTTGTACTGGACTGTTCTCTAAATCTTTGCACAAGATCCTAGTCAACTTGGCCAAGTTTAAGGTGAGATAATCCAAGTACAAGGACATTGAATAAATTGAAAGGGGAAATGCCGACTTTTTTCTTCACGGATGCTTATTAAAGCTATAACTAGATCCCTGTGCACCTAATAGATGAGGAGAAGATACCCTTAATCATTGAGAAGGCCAATTATTGCTACACAATGATGTTCTTCGGGTTCAAGAAAGCTGGAGCTATCTATCAACAGATGATGAACAAAGTTTTTGAGAAGCATATCGAAAAAAAATTAAAGTTTACATTGATGGCATGATTGTGAAGACAATTGATTTTGGGGATCATGTGAACGACCTCTCCCAAGTCTTTGTGTCATAACCCTAATGTGTAAAATTCCTAATTGCACTGGATTAATTAGTTAATCATGCATAATTAAGATTAATTAAGCGAAAGGTTTAATAAAAGAATTAGATTAAATATTAATCATGCACATTGTAAATAAAATAAGTGGAATACTTAGTTAAATCAATGTGGAATGTGTTTAAGACACCTTTAAAGTGAGCAAGTGGGCTTAAGTAGAGAAAATGAGCTTTTATGTTAAAAGGCCTTGTCAGCCATTCCTCACTAGAGAGCTTGCTTAAGCAAGCTGTCCAGCGAGCATTGTAATTGCTTGTTAGTGGAACTTGCTAGAACGAGGGGTCCAGCGAGAAGTTATGAAAGTTGGTTTAATTAGATGAAAATCGAGCCATTTGTCGATGAAAAGAAAAGAAACACAGAGAACTCCATTAATGGGAACTTAATGACTTCAAAAACCTAGCTTTCTCTACACTCAATGGAGTCAAGAGAGGTTGGAAGCAAAAGTGAATAGATTATCACCCTTAACAAAACCCATAGCTTAGAATCCATTGTAGAGGCCTGTGTGAGGAGAAAACCTTTGAAGAATGTGGCAAAAATTGAGTGTACCAAGAGCTTAAAGAGGTGTATTAGCTCATTGTTGGTTGGAAAGAAATTCCTTGAGCCATTGTGGAGCTATTATTGGTAAGAAACCCTTGTCTTTTTCATGCTTTCTTGATGTTGGAAATTCTAGGGTTTTATATGAATGTGAGTTGATTGGCTATGTTAGAGTATGATTGAGGATTAATGTATGTTGGGAAATATGCTAAGGATGAGATTTAATCAATGGAAATGTGATTAGAAAACCTTTTGAGTAATCTTCCTAGTTTTCCATAAATTGCATGCCTATGTGTTGGTGTTGCTTGTGTCAAGTAACACAAATGGATTGTATTGATGATGTCCATGGTATTTCTAAGATCAAGATAAGTGGTCAAGAGCTAGGAGGCCAAACACTGATTGAATCCATGGATTTGGATGTTAAAACTTGATTGAAATCAAATGTAGGTGAGTTCCTAACACCATTGTGATTTCGTTTTAAAAGAATTGCCTATGTTGATATGGATGTAGATGTATATTCATATATATTGCAATTTGATTGATTGTAAACTCACCTTATGGATAGATGTTTTGGTTATTGTTTGGATATTTCTCTGAGAATAAAGCTTGTTGTGAGGGACTCTGGTGCTTGGAGCAAGCATTGGTGGAAAGCTTTATAGGTAAGCTTTTGGATCTTGGGATTTATCCCTTGATTGTTCCACCGAGCCTGTGTGGGATTTTGTTTATATGGTTGTGCAATAAATTGAATATAATGCATGTTGCGAGATTCATATGGTATGTTGCACAGTTGTGTAAGTCATCCTTTGTTCTCTGCCCTTAGGATTATTTGTCTTAAGCGTCCTGTTTAAGGTGTGTTTACCACAAGGGATGGCTAGGACATTGTCATTTGTATTCCGAGGATGGTGCAAGGCACTAGCAGGAATATTAGACAGTTAGTTTACACACTTTGCATGCATACATACATTCATGATTATGTTCTTTATTGCTTGTTGCCTGAAGTGAGCTTTTGGGTGGAGAAGTCCTCCAAGGACCCTTACTTTATTAAGATATTTATCTCACCCCATGTTGTGGGGACCCCCTTTCAGGTACAAATGATGTTGTATCATCTATTTACATGAGACCATAGTAGATGGCATTATGATGCTATATTTTGATGCATTTTGAGATATCATATGTATATGTTAGTTGAACATGTATAGGATTTGCATTTTTTAGCTCTTGATATATCATGATTTATGTTGACATACTTAGCCTATGATCACTCTCTTTTGGTATCCTAGTGTTGTTGGATGGAGCCAAGAACTTGATCATAGTCATTTTGTGTAGCTAAGTTCCATAATATGTAATTGAGTTATTGGATGTAATTAGACATTTGTAATTATGTACTTTATGCATATATGATGGAAGGGCATGGATGTCTACTTTGCATGATTTGGAGTCTATTACTTATGTGCTTTTCTTTTACATGTTGGCAATGTATGTTGATGTATGCATGATTATCAAATGGTCTTATAGATTAAGTTAAAGGTACATAACTTGTGAACCAAGTAAAGATAAGAAAAATGTCTTAAATTATGAGAGTTGTCATGGATGTAAGAGCACCCTAGTTTGTTGGGCTAGAGGTTGTCATTGCATGTATATTAGGTACCCAAGTGGTGTTCCTAATGTGTGAAGAATGAGCCATAAAACAAAAAGGTTATGTTCAAATTCTGGCTTTGCTCGCTGGCAAGCTCATTCGAGCGAGGAGGCCAGCGAGCTAATTAAAAATGAGATAGAAGTTGAGCTGAGGCAGGGGATTGCTCGCCGATTTCCTCGCTTCAGCGAGGTGAAGAGCGAGGAAACAGAGCACCTGGGCAGTAGCTATTGCCTGGAAAATTAATTTGCTGGTTGTAGTGCTCGTTTGAGCGAGCTGAGCAAAGTGCTCACTGGGGAGCTCACTTAAGCGAGGAGCCCAGTTTAACGAAAATTGGGAAATGCTACTGTGGAGTTTATGGGAACCCCATATTTGTGTCTAAAAGGACTAGTATGATATGCTTAAGTTAAAATTAATTATTTTGCATTATCACGGTGTTGCAATTTACGATTTCAATTTAATTTGAATACGATATTTATGGTTAACATAATTTACAATGTTTAAAAAGAAAAAGTTTAGTCGTATTTTAATTGAACTGTTGTGATTGCAAATGCGCTTAATATCATGATAACGAATCGGGTGTACAACGGGGCGTTACACTTTGCACAACTCCGAACTCATAACGTGGACGACTTTTTCTTCATGGATCCTTATTCAGGCTATAACCAAATCCCCATGCACCTAACAGATGAGAAGATAGCCTTAATCATTGAGAAGACCAGTTATTGCTACACAGTAATGCTCTTCAGGTTCAAGAAAGCTGGAGTTACCTCCCAATAGATGATGAATAGAGTTTTTGAGAAGCATATCGAAAAAATCATTGAAGTTTACATTGATGGCATGACTATGAAGACAACTGATTCTGGAGACCACGTGGACGACCTCTCCCCGTCTTTGCACAACTCCGAACTCATAACATATTCCTCAATCTACTCAGATGCACTTTAGGTGTCCCAACTGAAATTCCTTGGGTTCATGCTCATTCACAGATGTATATAAGCTAATCGATCTAGGTGTAAGGTCATCCTAAAAATGCGAAACCCCGAAAAAAAGGAGATCCAACAATTGACACAATTGTTTAGTGAGACACTCATAAAATTTAACCAATAATAAGAGTAATGTTGAAAATAGTGCATTGTTATTATTTCTCAATTCCCAAGTAGTTATCCACTCTCTCTCTCTCTCTCTCTCTCTCTCTCTCTCTCTCTCTCTCTCTCTCTCTCTCTCTCTCTCTCTCTCTCTCTCTCTCTCAATCAATTTTTTTTTCAACTTTTTCTGGTTAATCTTTGATAAGTGAGAATATTTGTTTAAGCTAACAATTATTTTTTGAACTGTAGCCACATTATATGCTTATTTTTAAATTCATATAAAATATAAATAATTAAAATTATAAAAATATGCATAAATAATTCAAAAAAATATAATATATATAATACTTCAAAATTATGAATTTAATTTTTTTTATATATATATATATATATATATATATATATATATATATATATATAATTTTTTTAATATTTATATACTGAAAAGTCATCACACTTGAAAAAGTAAATTTTATTTAACATATTAAGCGAAAATATTATCATAAATCATTACTTACCATAATCACGTAAATGAGGGAGAGTGTAATTTTCACGTAACAGTGGAGTTAATTGTCGTTGAACCAAATCTCAAGGTGGTTCGGATTAATCCTCATTGAACCAAGTCTCAAGTGGGTTTAAGTTATTTATTCAAATCTTTGTATATTTTTTTTTTTGGTAGATCAAACCTTTATATTTTTGTTAACATTGATTTAGGAAGAATAGTGACTCACTTTTTTTTTAATATATTTCATCAGCAGTTAATTTTATTCTTAATTTAGTTTTTATATATTTTTTAATTTAGCATTTCTGCATAATTTTTTTAAAGTAAAATCTTATCGTCTATTACTATTATAAATGTTATCAGCTAAAATTATAAGACAGTGAATATAAGAATGAAAATAAAAATAATTGTCATATATAAACTATAAATTATATTATATTTTAATATGTGATAATTATTTTTAGTGTATAGAGATCATAGAAACTTCGTATGAATACGTAATAACAAAAGCATACAACCGGGACAATATTAAAAATAATTACAACTTAATTGAAAATAAGTGTAATGTACGTTACCTACCAAAAAAATAAATAAGTGTAAATGTAAAATTACAAAAATATATTTTAAATTTTATTTTTCTTCTATATATATTTTATGCTGAAAAGAAATAAGGGTTTGATTTGTCATTTTAAATGACATAAGTTATATTATTTTAAGAGAGAAATAAACACAAGGAATTGAAATCATGGGAAAAAAAGTTGGTAGTTTTTTTTAATTTAAATTTTAAATAAAAAATATTTTTTATGTCCCTCTCTTTTAAAATGACATAACTTTATATCATTTTATATTTAAAATGACAAACACTTTTATCAATAAATAAATAAATAAATAAAGTGAAAAATATTTCTGCAGTTAATGCAGATAAATTATCTGCATTTATTCTCAAAACGATGTCGTTTTGGTATTGAAATATTAAAAAATCATAAATATGAAGACTATTATAATCCTAAAATAAATAAAAATTACAAAAATATCATAATTTTTCCCCACTCAGTGCTGATAACTTATATAGCGAACCATAAACAAATGGATAAAAGGGGGAAATATGAGGAGACAACGGCCTATCCATGAAGTGAGAGAGGGGAGCGGACGAGGGAAGAAAGCACATGAATACGATGATGAGTGTATTTCACATCTATGGCGGTTGGTGCACTCTTGTGGCTCTTGTGTTTCTTATATTATTGCTTTGGCAGCGTAGGAGATCTTTCTTCACCTCATCTCCGTCCACTTCCTTTTTAGTCTCCGATTCTGTCAATTCAAAATTGAGGTTCACTCGACGTCCTTTATTTATTAAAGAAATTCATTGAATTTGAACTGTAATTATTTTTTTCCTTTCTTCCCAAACTGCGATTATGATTATGCTGTTGCCGTGTTTTGATATTTTCATTTTGTTGTAAGTTCTTCGGTGCACAGGCGATAGAATTTGCTTCAAGTTTAGAATCCAATTTAGTTTACACTTGTTGGTTGGTGTGACTAAAAAGTGCTGGTGAAATTGAGGCCCTTTGGGGCTTTGAATAGTACCACCGAAATTGGAAATTTAGAGTTTATGGTTTTCTATTCTAGCCTTTTACATACAGCAAATCTATGCTAACAGCAATGATGGCTTTGAAAGAAGGGGTTTCTTAATGTTGTCTTCCAAAGCAAGCGGTTGTGGGAGGTTAAGAATTTAGAAAAAACTTGACCTGGCATCACACAACCAAAAAGGTGATAGGATAGATCACATTATTTACAATTTTTATGAGAAAATCTACTCTGGAGCAGACATTAAGTTGCTACTTGCTAATAACATTACAACTAGCAGATCTTAAGTTTAGATCTTCGGTCCTAACATTTGAAGTTGATGAACTTTGTGTCTAATGTGATCACACAAGGCTTATATTTATAATAATAGAGTACACGGGTGTGGGTCCTGTTTACATGATGTGGGACTAATTAACAATAACTAAATACTCTATTATATACTTTCTAATACTCCTCATCGAGCCGGTGCGTATATATTACGGGCACCAAGCTTGCTACAAATATAGTCAACCCGGAGACTCTTAGGAGTCTTAGTGAAAACATTTACAAATTGATCATTGGAGTTGACAAATCTATCTCGATCTCTCCTAATTGAATCTTTTATCTGATAAAATGACAATCAATTTCAATATGTTCAGTCCTCTTATGAAAGATCGGGCTAGAGGATATATGCAACACGGCTTAATTGTCACAAAATCACTATTGTTCACATAGACTTAGTACTGTAATCAATTGCTTTAACCAGATGAGTTCGCAGGTTGCAGTTCCGATTGCTTGGTATTCACCCTCTACTCTTGATCTGACTACCATGATTTGTTTCTTACTTTTTCAAGAAATCAGATTTCCCCCGAAGAGGACAAAGTACTCTAAAATGGAACGTCAGTCTAAAGAAGATCCTGCCTTATTAGCGTTTGAGTATCCATAAACCATAGTGTGCCGCTTATCTTTGTATAATAAGCCTTTTCCCAGTGCTTCTTTGATATATCTGAGAATTCTAACAGCTGCATCCCAATCAGAATTACAAGGAAAATCAAGGAGTTGACTTGCCATATATACTGCAAAAGAGATGTCTGGTCTTGTTACAATAAGATAATTTAGTGGGGGGCCCTGTCCGAGAAAAAGCTTGACATCAAGGTTAATGGGTGTATTAATAAGCTTGCATCCCAACATACTAATCTCCTTCAAGATATCCATGGTATACTTTCTCTGCAGTTGGAGATGCCTTGCTAGGATTGTACCATCTCAATGCCTAAGAACTAACGAAGCTTGCCATGATCTTTGGTCTAAAATTGACTGAACAATTATTGTTTTAGTTGTTCAATCCAAACCTGATCACTGCCAATGATGATAATGTCATTAATATAATGATGATAATGTCATTAATATAGACCAGGAGGTAAATGCACTGACCAAAAGAACTATGCTGATAGAAAATAGAGTGATTGGCTTCTCTTCAAACTAAACTAGAAGTTTGAGCAACTAAACTAAAATGGCTAAACCAAGCTCAAGGTGACTGCTTCAAGCCATATAAAGATTTGGAGCTTGCACAACAACGCAAGTCCACTTCTTCTTGCAAATCACCATGTAAGAAAGCATTTTTTATGTCAACCTGAAGAAGAGGCTAGTGATGAACGATAAGAATGGCAAGAAACAGGCTGACAGAAGCCATCTTGGCAACGGAAGAGAAGGTGTCCCCATAGTCGAGCCTAAAAATCTGAGTGTATCCCTTTACCACTAAACGGGCTTTGAGGTGGTCAACAGTGTCATTAGGACCAACTTTGACAGTGAAAACCTAATGAAATTCGACATCAGATTTTTTTGTAGAAGCAGGAACAAGATGAAAGTTGGAAATGGCCTTGAAGGCCGATGCATGCTGGAGGGAAAAACAAAATTTTTTCATTGCGGAACACACATGCATTCAAGATCATGCTTTAGGAAAGCATGATGTTACCTTGTTCGTGAAAACTCGTGATGATCAAGGTAGGTCTGAAGGGTTCAGACCCTCTAACGTTGATCCACACCACCCACTGCGTCTAGGTGCAAGAACTCCTTCTTGTGAAACCGCCAAGTGATCACTACAATGAGGCTTGCTAAGCGCACACTGTGTGAAGAGAAAGGCTAGGTAAAAGTGTTTGAAAGAGTGAAGCTTTCAATGTGAAAACTTCACAAAAGTGGAGCAGGAGAGGAGAAGAGAATGGCTTGGTTGGTTTTTTAAAAACCCTAGAAGGAACATATATATAGATGCACACAAGAGGAGCCTATTTGTTAAAAACAAATCAGATTTTTAATCAATAAAAATCCCTTCCAAAAGGGCGCTCCATCAAAGAGAGAGAGAATAGGATTTGTTGCAAATCAAATCTCATCAAATCTTGCCAACAACATCCTATCATATCTTTATGATATATTAGGTTCAAAACCTAATCAAATATCTGATCATAAATCATCATATAATCAGTTATATGGTGCGCCCCATATAGCCTAAATAATGACCAGATACATTTGAGTAGTTGCATTCAAACTTGAATCAAATCACTCATATATTCTCCCAACAGATCGTATCTTCTGGAGCTGATTCTGATGACTAACCAACAGCCAAATCAGCACCCCAAATCTTCTTAGATTATGTCCAAAAGATTTCCTCTTGATATGTTCCAACAAGATCTCATCTTATCCTTTTGTTATGAAACAACTTTTCATAGCCAATTCAAATTCGAATTTCAAACATTTGAATTCAAACTTTCAAACACTTAAATTTTAAATTCAAATTCAAATTCTAAATTCAAATTCAAATTTCAAATTTCAAAACTAAAATTCAAAATTCAAATTTCAAATTTCAAATTTCAAATTTTAAATTTCAAATTCAAAATTCAAAATTCGAATTTCAAAATTCAAATTTCAAATTTCAAATTCAAAATTCAAAATTTAAACATTTGATAATTAATTTAACTAATTAAATTAATTAGTAATGTCTTGGACTATCCAAGCCCATTACTTAGATCCATGCGCCCTCCACCCTATCTGTGGAGTTCCAAACTACTTCTTGGGCTAATAACAATTGTTAGGCCCAATACCATTAATGCTAGAGCATCTAGACAATTAGGTGTTAGTGTGTAACCCATTAGGTCCAACATAGCCACTGACATAAATGGGTTTGGGCCCAATAAGCCCACAACCCATCTAATGACAACACAGAGTACTAGCAATGCTTTGTTGTCCCAGAACTAGTTAGATTAGTGACTTGATCATCCTATTGCACATATTTGGTTGCCGTATATATTTCCTTTCGTCTCGGTTACCTTCCCATAAAACCTAGGGTAAGGAAACGTATCAACCCCTGCGGTTTAGGGTAAGCTTTATTTGAAATAGGGAATCTTCAATTTACAGACTCTAAAGGCAGATCATCTCATGATCTCTTTTACTATGCATAGATTCCCGAGTCCCTATAAATGTCATCCCGATTTTTCCGGTTTACAGATAACCTAATCTCTCACAGAGATCTGACGAATTCCTTCAGCTTATCACCCTAGCCCTGTGTTCTTTCAGGACAAGCCCAACAATATACCTATGAGTCTCCATGTTTCAGGCAGACGAGGTGCACAATCAAAGCCTGTCTTCTAGAACACAGTCTAGGTAATAACTTCTGGTCTTAGGAAAGACATACCCAAATATAAAGAGACTACTCTAATGATACTCTCTGTGAGAGTTCCTTAGAGTCTCTTTGTGGGTCTGTTCAGTGCGAGCTATACCCTTATAGGTCCACCCACGACTTTAGCTAAGACATCTCCATATCTGTAGCACATGAGGTCTATACCTTGTATCCATATACAAGTAGATAAGTCGTGCTAGTCTTACCCGAGATTACTGACCCCATTCTCAACATCTCTAGACTAGGAACATAAAATTAGGAATAAACATCCGGTATTCTTGAATCCTCATGGTGATCTCATTACAGATACTCAAGAGATACCTATTTTATTTCACGGGGTTTATCAAGTTATTCATAATATATTAACATTAATATCGAGACAGAATTATGAAACAAGATAAAGAGTGCTTTTATTTATTTGCGACAATATTAAAAAGGTCTACATCTATGTCCTTATTTAATCATAAGATTGTCTCTAGGACACCCAAATACTAACACAAGATCCCATGTACTATATGAGTGGAGAGCAATCATTTCATTAATCATTTTCTGACGCTAACCTGGATGGGATAGTGCTTCACCTGTGGTCTTAGGAATGGAAACATACGAAAGATTAGAAACAAAGATATAATGTTACGAAGAAAGTCGGACATAACTCAAAAAAGCATAAAGAGGATAAGGGTTGTGAATAGAGTGGATACCTTTGCGGCTAGCAATTGGTGTAGTCTCTAGTGGAGGAGCCAAAAGGGACATGATGACTATTGAAGATGGTGAGTAGTCAGAAGTAGAGTTGCAGACAACGCTAATAGGTGAGGAGGGGATGATCCTCAAAACTAGAGTCACTTGTAATTGGTACAGAAGAATCAAGAAAGGGAATATGAAGAATATTATTTACCTATGACACTAGAGTAGGGGAACAAGAGAAAGGTGTTTGATTGAGGAAGGTGACATTAGTAGAAACAATGTACTGCTTGAGGTCAAGAGAGGAGTAGCGATAATCCTTTTGAAAACAAGATTAACGAAGGAAGAGACGTGAAGGTTTTGGATGTAAGTTTGTCATTGCCTGGAGCGAAGTTATGTACGAAGTAGGTACATCCAAAATCATGCGGAAGTAGAGGATACTTATGAGTGTAAGGAAAAAAGATACCGTGCGGGACCTCATTCTTAAGTAGAGAAGAAGGCATGTGATTGATGAGAAAATATGATGTAATAATAACAACCGCCTAAAAGCAAAGGGTGTGCATTGTTTCAACTAGATGTTTATTTTTGCCTTAGCCACTCCACTTCAAAGGATAAATACTTTTTGGCATTATCACAAGACAAAATACGATAGAAGAACTAAATTGATTATGAATTTTAGCATACAATTTGTGATAAATAGAAAATAATTCAAAATAATTTTTCATTAAATAAAGCCAAATACAATGAGAAAAGTCATTAATAAAGGTAACAAAACACTGAAAACTCTAAACAAACCCAAATACAATGAGAAAAGTCACCTTCCTCCCTCTCCCTCAGGCCATTCCTTCCCTCTGATCCACTTGAATAAGGTATGCCAACATTGTTTCTTGTAACGTCCGAATGGACTTTTCTACACCCATCACCCTTCCTCCCAATCTTTCAGCTCTTCATTCCACCTCAGCACTCCCCAAGGATCAAAAGTGCTCTGATACCAAAATTATGGTACAAGAAACTTGAAGACAGTAAAGAAATGGAGTCTGGTATAACCAACAACTTATAACATTGGAAAAAAGAAGAAACTACAGAGTTTCTTAAAGCTAAAAAAAAAATACACAATCCTTATGACCATGATTATGCACAAAAGAACAGCTCCAACGATTCTCTGCAACACCTCTAAGCTACTGAAACACCCCTATTAGTGGCTTCACTCCATATGAAGATAATTCTTTCCTGCCTTGCTTTTTCCCCTATGACCAACTATATTCTTTATGTTCTTTTTTCCCCACCTCACCTCCACTATCTCCTATTTGTTTTTCCCCATTCATTGCTTGTCACATAGCCTCTTTTAATAACTAACTCTTCACCTTTTTCCACTTTTTCATCATCAGGTGTCCCCATATTGTTATTATTCTCATTCTCACCTCTATGGGCTCTTTTTTTACGTTTGTATACTTCCTTAAAGGGTATCAAGTCCCATCATATTTCAATAAATATTGTGAAATTTCTTAGCACAATTAGATGAATCTATGCATTGTCCACCTTTCAAATTCAATGGGTTCTTGTGTAAGGGTATGTTGGAAATACAATCTAAAATTTAAAATGTAAAACCATTCATCTATCTTCACCTAACAACTTAAGTTTTGGGGAGGGTTGGTTGCTTGATAGATTTCAACGGTTTCCAACCTTTAATTAGAATTCCTGGGCAATAGTTTAGATACATTTGTTTGCTTAGGAGGCTGTAAGGAATCATTCAATGTGAAAAAAATACCATTGTAAAGTTACTCCTTCTAAGTGTATGTAAAAAAAAAATACTACTGTTAGGCGGGCAGGAGGAGCAAATGGTGGAGGACGACTACCAATAGGCTAAGCTACGCCAACTGTAGCAATTAGGTCCGGCACCATGTCTTAACCCAAAACCATAAGGCATTGTGTTCATGGATCCTCCCACTTATATTAACTTTATTTAGCACATTACCAACAAATGTGGGAATCCGTCACACTTGAATATCCCAACAATATTTCATAGCCTTTATTTTCTTGCAACTTTTAGGAATTTTAATTAAGGGGTTGTTTGAAAACTCAATTTAGTACTGACATAAAATGTTTCAGTGCCGAAAATGTTTTGGTGTTTTGTTTAACACATGCCAAGAATGAAATTAAGTGAAGTACCGAAAACATTTAACTCATGGAAGGTGTTTAATAAATTTAGCCGCTAAGATTTCATTATTTAAATACAACAATAACACGCTTATCCCAAATTTGTTGGGATCGGTGGTGGATGCACTCATTCATATGACGGTAAAAGCAGAAGGAAAAGTAAATAATAAAAAATAGTGTATATAATAATAATAAATAAAATAAAAACATAGAGAAATTGAAAAATCAATATTTTTTTTAATATTCTTTTTGTTAGTAATGAAATGATAATACTTTACTTTTAATATATGATTTGGTTCATAACATGCAAATAGTTTCCTTTAATACACATTCAGTTCAGAACTTAAAATGAAATTTTTTCAAGCATACAAATTTAGTGCTTGATTTTTTATCACTAATTAGGACTAAAGTGATGTTGATTTTGATGAAAGAATTTTAGGACTAAATTTCAGTTTTAACATACACCCCCAAACACCCAAATACTTTGGATCATATTCATAGCTGTGTCTTTGCTGTCAGTAACCAGCATTGATTTAGGAGCATAATAAGTTGATTTGACAATGTGGAAGTTATTATTTATTTTTATTTTTTACTTTTGCAGAACCTTAAATTTTGTGACAGATTCAGATTTGAAGTTTTTGATGGAGATTTTGGATGAGAAGCTCAACGAGATTGATAGATGGGAGGATGTTATCGATAAAAGAAATCAGCATCTAATATACAATGCGAAATGCTGCAAGCCTAAGGTTACTGCAGACACTTGAATTGATCATGGTTATTCTTGGAATGTGAACTCAGCTTTTTGTAGAATTATAATAACATGTTGCTTTCTTAAATGCTGTGTGTCTGTTGTCTGAAGTTTTGGAAGCTTTAATTGTTATATGATGAATAAAACATCTCACTGTGTTTCCCCTTTTTCTTTCTCGCACAATGTGGTGCACTTTGTCCTCTAATCAGCATATTCTTTCATAGTTCATTAGCAACTTATCATGTCCAAGTTACAGAAAAGTAGTAATTTTTAGTTGATTGTCTCTTTCATACACAAGTCTTTTTTTTTCTGTTAATTGACATAATTAATATGGGATTTATTGTGTCAAAATAGCGCGATGGAAGTTTTTCCCAAATTGCAGGGATAGGGTCAGTTAAACTCTCCAAGAAGATTGTGTTAAATTCTGCTCTAACAATTAATAATGTCAGGTGGTTATCTACAAGTCATTTTTTTTCTGTTAATTGACATAATTAATAATGTTAGGTGGTTACATCTAGCTCTTGGTCAGTCCTTCTAGTGTGTGATCTTAATTTTGATAGCTTCTAATTTTGTAACTTCTGTACACATCATAGCAGAATGGTTTTGAAAATGATCTATAAAGTATATACTTGTTTCTCAATTGATGTTGCAGAATGGTCCTCTGAGATATTTGAGTGTGACTATGTTCCGTGATATTTCGTCTGAGATGCTAAGAAACTTCTACATGGACAATGATTACAGAAAGCAGTGGGATAAAACAGTGGTTGAGCATAATCAACTGCAGGTGGACGAATTTGATGGTGTTGAAGTTGGTCGTACAATTAAAAAGTTCCCCCTTTTGAGGCCTAGAGAATATGTGCTAGCTTGGAAATTGTGGGAGGGGAGGGACAAAACTTTCTATTGTTTCATGAAGGTAATACACCAAATCGTTTTGCATATAATCATATAAATATCGCTTTTAACTACTGATTAGAATTATGCACATTGGATCCATGGCCACCTTCTCTTTGGAAAACTATATGTCCTAAATAATCGATTGTCTTCATCCCAAAATTGCACTTCTTCCCATTTGCAAAAAACTGAACTTGCTTTATGGTGTACAACACCTTCTCTAGACGTTCCATGTGCACATCCCAGATCTTGATATACACTAGGATGTCGTCAAAAAATACTAGGATGAATCTGTGAAGAAAGGACATGTTCATTGTGCACTAAAATGTTGTTGGGGCATTTGTGAGGCCAAAAGGCATCACTAGGTATTCGAAATGCCCCTGGTGTGTCTTAAAAGGTGCCTTAGGGATATCTTACTCCGCCATTCTGATCTGATTAAACCTTGCCTTCAAATCAATCTTAGAGAAATAATTTGCTCCCTCTAGCTCTTCTAGAAGTTCTTCAATCACAAGAATTGAGAATTTGTCTGCAATTTTAGCCTTATTTATACCCCAGTAGGCAACGCAAAGTCACTAACTATCAACCTTCTTCTTCATTAGTATCACTGGATTGGAGAAATGCCCATTGTTGGCCCGAATGATGCCTGAGGATAACATCCTTGTTACCTGCATGGTTGCATTTCTATTTCTCCCATTTGCTTGTGTGAGTGCTTGCACACAGGCATACATTTATGGGATCTATGCCCTCCTTTAACAAAATTTTATGGTTTATGGTTTTGTAGGAAAGTAGTTTGGTTGAGGTTGAGAAAACCATTGTAAACCCTCATCATAATTCCAGCAATTTTCTGTGCCGCTGTGAAAGTTCTATGTTGATGGAAAGGCTCTCTCACTTTTCTGAGTAATCCAGAGATGATAGAACAAGCACCATGGGCGCCTCCTCAACTCCTACGGTTTTGGATTGTGCCTTTGAAGAGATGAGAGATTGAGAAAAAGAGCGGTTCCCCAGAACCTGAACATGCTCTCCTTGGTGCATGAAAGTCATGCTTAAGATAAGACAATTGACTGTTACTTCGCCAAGGGTTTCTCTCAATGCCACCCCCAATATAACATCTATCTCTCCAAGTTCAAAGACAAAGAAATCTCCCTAAACGTCCAAAAACCCAGTTGGACATTTAATCCAGTAAAACAGCCCTGAGATGCTTTTTTCTGACCATCACCTGTACGAACTTGAAAAACGAAGTACAAGTTAAAGGCAAATTTAAACGTTGTACTAACCTTTGTCCCACAAAGTTATGGCTGGCCCCAATCTCTATTAATGCTAGCACTGTCTCTCCCTGTATTGTACCCTTCAACTTCATGGTCTTTGAAGAAGTGAGACCTCCGATGAAGATAAGGAGAGATCCTACCGTTTAAAGTCTGCTTTGCAGACGACCCAAATCCTTCGTGATCACCATCGCCGAAGTCGCCTTTGCTTAGGGTGGGGAGTCGTAGAGACTTTTCTGCGCAAAGGTGTTTGGGACTGTACGACAAGCCATATTGGAAGCATTTCCCTTCTTTGTGTCTCTTCATGAACTCGTCATATGACACTTGTCTCGCCTCACGGGTACGAGTCCCACCAGCAAATCCCAAAGAGTTAGGCAGTGAGGGTGCAACGTTAGATGACCCTTTGGTTAGGGTTTGATTGAGTCTTTCCCCCTCCTCATTTTGAGTTGGACCACGCTTGTGAATGATTCCCACTAAAACTTCTCTGTGCATTGGGCTTGGCAGGCCTAGATGTGTTGAAACCTCCATGGGAGTACTATCCCCGTTTATCACAAAATGGGCCATAGAATAGGTTAAGCCAAAACCTCCCGTGTTTCCCCTATTTTATCCATTACTCCCTTCATACACGCGTGTTCCCATCCCATGCATGCGACCCAAAGTGTCGAAAATGCCCAAGATCCTAAGTTCGTTTTCCACATTGCGTGCAAAGTTCATCATCTGAATCACCTCTGATGGGTCATGGGTCCACTCAAGGCTTTGAATCTCAGCCCTGTGTCCTCCCAAGAAATAGTATGGAGTGTGGGCCTTGCTAACATTAGTTGCCTTAGCCACCAAGGATTCAAATTCCAAAAGGTAATCTTCAACCATTCCATTTTTCCTAAGGGTGGACATACATTCATATATATTGCCTTGGGATCTTTCCCCAAAACGCCATATAATGGCGACCAAGAGACCTTCCCAGTCCAAATTTAGTACTTTTTTGCGTTGGTATCGAAACCAATGGACAGCGCCTCCTTCCATGCTTACAAGTGCCAATTGAACCCCTCTCCATTGCTGATATTTTATGAATTTTGAAGAAATTCTCTGCCTTGGCAATCCACCCCAAGGGGTCTGAGCCATTAAAGGACAAAAGTTCAATCTTTTGAGTCCAAGTCTGATCAACCATTATGCTTGTACTAGATCCATCTCTTTTAGTGTAATTTCCTTCACCAATTTTTCCCTCACTAGCACTATGGTGGCCATTGCGGTGCATCCACCCTTGCAAAAGTAATTTCATATCATTGAGCCCTCCCATGTGTCGAGAATTCTTGCAGGTTTCTTAAGAGAGACGTTCGAGAGATGCCTCAATAGTTTCTACCTGCACCTCCAATGAAGGTCCTCCATCTAATCTGACAGGGTGGACCAACTAACACTGTTGTTTGCATGCAATACCATCCACTAGTAATTATCAATTTTTTCACTGTTTTCTGTTGGAGATTTATTTGTTTGGTGTTTGTACACTGTACAAAAATATTTGTTCATCATATCATTCTAATTTCTCATTCTATACATATTTAGATAAAAGCTCTTAACAATAGCATGACCTTCATACATATTTTGGTTGATATTGGCAAATTGTTCTGTATGTGTGAAGCAGCCCTATATTTCCATTCCTTTAACCTATATGTTCATAACCTTCCTCATAATATTATTCAGATGGTGTTTGTATATTTAGATAATAGGCAGGTTCCTATTTTAAACATTTTCTTTTTGTTAGTGATATTTTAAAGGGAAATAAAGTGACAGATCATATTGAAAATCAATAGAAAATACAACCTTTATTTGTGGATGAACGTGATGATTATGAGATTTCTTACTAGCTTTCTCTTTTTTATGCAATGATTACTTGATCATTTTCTTCTTTCCAATTTTGGTTATGAACTTTGTTAGGAATGCGAGCATCCTTTGGCACCGCGGCAGAGAAAATATGTACGTGTTGAGTATTTTAGATCTGGCTGGCGAATAAGAGAAAGTAGGTTTCTTGGCTTATTTAAGTTTTTTTATTAAACAATGAAACTTTGTGGGAAGACAAAACCTCAAATTTTCCTTTTTTAATGTTATTATTTCTTATCCTCCCAAAAATGGTTGAAATCTCTTAACTCCACATGCCATTTCTTCATAAAATATTCTAAATTGAATGATATACTGTGATGACCTATTTCTATGTCCACAGATTTGTTTGGAGTTTGAAACTGTTGAAAATCTTTCATTGCAGCCAGTGATATACTTGTGCTCCCTTTTAATATATATTTCATTGTTTTTGAATAATGAGTGACTGATTTTTACCTATAAAATGACGGTTTTATGATTGGCGTTTATGTAATTATAGTCCCTGGTAGAAATGCCTGTGAGATCACAATGTTTCATCAAGAAGATGCTGGTTTGAATATGGAGATGGCAAAGCTGGCTTTTTCTAAGGGCATATGGAATTATGTATGCAAGATGGATAATGCACTTAGAAGATACTCTGTTATAAGCTATCATTTACCAAGTTCAGTTGCCACTTCAATCAATTTAATGCAGAAGGTTAGTGTTGTTAGTTTCAAATACCATCATTTAATGCATTTCCTAGTTTAAACTGTCCGGTTTTCTCACATTGGTGCCTGGGGTTATAATTAGGGAATGTTGCTTGAGGCAGGTTTGTGGTAGACGTCAAAATGAAATATTCCTGATGACTAGTTATAACAATATAACCTATCAATCAACTTCTATAATGTGATAGATTCCTCCTGATGGTTTAATAGTAGAAATCAACTATAGGCAGGACAAAAATGAGGATTCATAAAACCCAGCACTTATTTGTGAGATGATGAAAAAGCATGTTTTCTCACGAGTTAAATTGAGTTTTTGGATAGTGGCAATGTTCAAGATTTGTTGTAAATACAAAACTACCATGTGTAATAAATCAAAAGATGGTTGAACCACCACCAACAACTCTTAAATTTTGTACTAACATTTGTTTATGCATTGTAAATATTTGTACATTAATAAACAAGTAAAAAACTATTCAGATTCAGAATTTCAAGTATCAACTTGGTATCCAACCTCCCAAACCTGGAGACTTTGGTTTCACGCAATGCCTTCATCGCCTTGAGACGGACACCTTCATTGTAGCTTACCCAGGAAACTTTCGTAGCAGACGAGTGCCTATTAGTTCGCCCTTTCATTGCACTTGCATCGCCGATGAATTTCTTAGAATTCCTCACCCTCAACCTTGAAGCCCAGAACAAAACTACTGTGCAAAGGTTGTTTGTTCCTTGGAAACGTGCTACCATTTACCATTCCACACACGTTCACTTTCTCTGCATGTTAGATCAACACACCACCATTATTTTTACACATGTAGTTGCGTCTGACCAACCTTGCCCTCACTATCACTTCCAGACAGCTTGTTGTGATCTCCTCTCCCTAAATCTACCCTCGGTCGGGGAACCCAGCATCACCTTAACGCACGCTTTCTCATCTCCTCCACGGCCCAACTACCCAGTTTGCCTTTGGTCGCCATGTGTGACCCAAAAACTAGCTAAACCACATAGCCCATTTTTTAGTCTATAATGACCATGTCACTCACTCTAACGACTTCTTGATTCCACATGTGACCTACTGCCTCACTAGAAAATTATTTACAGTGGTCCTAGATCATTCAAACTACCCTTAAAGGGAAATGGTATTTAAATCATATATAAAGGCTAGCCCTAGATAAGAAAGACCCCAAATTTGATGAATAGGATGATGAAGACTCGTTTTTCATGACCTAACTCAGTCCTTACCCATTACTTAAGATATTTGGTATGTCCTCCAGAAGACTTATTCCATGAAACAAAACATTGCCACCTATTTCAAATTGAAAATTAAGATTTCTCTACCAAACAGAGCTCCTTTTTTGTGATTAGCCATTGTGGTTTTCTTAATGGCTTGTGGATCGAGTTGGACTAGTACTATCCTAAAACGAAGTGTAGCAAGGATGTTGCCACCTAGTCCACCTAAGTATGACCCTATTAGGGTTCAAATTCTAGGAATGGAAAAGCTACCTACCCTTTCTTAAGTGTTTTATACTATTTAAGGGAAAGAGAACCATCGGGAAGCCATGCTAGATGCCAAATTCACTGATTGGTTTGTCGTGACAAAAGCCAAGTCTACTAGACATGATTAATCATCCACCTCTTTAGACTTAACAGAGATAGACGATGGTGCAACCACCGTAAGAAATATGGTCACATTAAGGTTACTTGTTTTCATCTTCATGGAAAGGAACAAGTACTTGACAAAACAAGTGGATTCAAAGGTATCCAGAGAGGCCAACCTTATTTGACTTCCCAAGCTCAACCACTCTCAGTGAGGCTTCTAATGGGGTTGTTGTAAACATTGTAAATAGTGTAGTAAGAAGTGGGGAATAAAGTGCCATATAGGTGGAAGACAACCTTATAATTATTTGATTTAGTTATATAATGGATCTTCCATTGTGCTATAGACACATGGATTCCAACATATGCTTCTGGCTTTTACATTATTCAACAGGGTAACTCACAAAGAAAAAAGGAAGTGAGTTAGACAAAAAGAAAAGAAATATGGACAAAAAAAGAAGTAACTTGGACAAAAAGAAACAAAGTGACTTAGATAAATCTTTTTTGTCGATAACCTCAGAACAATCAATTGAATATTGATTAATATGTAATCGATTGAACACTACTTGAAAATGGCTATTTTGCTCATAAATGAAATGTTCCAAATGTTCCTGGAAATTCTTGCTCCCATTGGAACATTTTCCATATAAAAAGGGAATCTATTGTTACAATAGAAGCAAAAGTGATATCGATTATTCAAGAATCGAATTTTATTTTCTTTGTAAAAGGAGGATATCAATGAACTTCTATGAAATGATTTCATAGGATTCAGCTAATTGTCTTGATCGTGGGATATCATTGAGAAATAGGAATCCGTGTTATCAAAAGATTTCCTTCGATTCTTTCTAGTATGGAATGAGTCAATCATCCACTTCGGTATCTTATTGAACAAATATTGTGATATTGTTTCACCATTGATCAAGAATTTGAGAGATAGACAAGAGGTAACCCTAATCCTAATATGTGCCTGCTTGGTGGACTCACTGTCCACCGTTAATATTTTTTTTTCGTAAACTGTTTTCTGTAACGCTCGGCAACTTGCAAGGATCAATGACCGTTCCCACAGACTAACCCGAGACCTTTCAGCGTGTTTTGTTCTCACTCACACTTCCTGGAAAAACTTCCTAGGAGGTCACCCATTCTAGAATTGCTCCAAGTTAAGCACGCTTAACTATGGAGTTCTTCCGTTCTGGGCTACCGAAAAGTAGATACATATTGTTAGTATAGGTAGTACTAATTAATTCTTATAAGTTATCCCCAACTGTGCAGTCTCATGCCAACACAGTCTTTGGAATCTCTCTCTTTCGGGTGTTGATTTGATTCATTCATGTACACCCGCCGGTGGAAGCCTGCCAGGAGCCGCTTCTTGTCTGTGCCCTTGTGCACCATGCCCTTGCGCACCGGCGATCACTCCCTGCCCTCGTCAATGCCCGGGATGTTACATGCCCACCAGCTTCTGCCTGGTTTGTCCTCGATCCACACCATACTGGAAGAGAGGCCTGCTCTGATACCACTTGTAATGCCCGGCCGCTTGCATGAATTAATGACTGTCCTCACAACACTAACACGAGACTTTTCAGCGTGCTTTGTACTGGCACACTTCTTGGGAAAACTTACCAGGAGGTCACCCATCCCAGAATTGTTCCAAGTTAAGCACGCTTAACTATGGAGTTCTTCCGTTCCTGGCTATCGAAAAGTAGATGCATCTTGTTAGTATAGATAGTACCAATTAATTTTTATAAGTTATCCCCAACTGTGCAGTCTCATACTAGCACAGTCTCTGGAATCCCTCTCTTTCGGGTGTTGATTCGTTTTATTCATGTACCCTCGCTGCTAGAAGCCTGCCAATAGTCGCTCCTTGTCTGTGCCCTTGCGCACCGGCGATCACTCCCTGCTCTCATCAGCGCTCGGGATGTTACATTTTCCATCTAGTTTTTGGTGTCTTTTGCTGCAAATCCCTCTAGCATTGTTCCCAGTCGCCAATAACTGTCCCGGCCTCCAGCAACTGTCTCAGCCGTCATCGAACCAATCACCAATCACCAATCATTGTCTTTTCAAGTGAGTTTCCAACCGATAACCGATGGATCCAAATAGTGCCTTAGGGACAAGACTAGTCGTTCAGGTCTCAGGTCCAGATACAGCCACACGTGTGTGATTTGTTCTCTATGTTGCACCCATTTGCATTCGCGTCTGACTACACTTGCAGGCTATTCTCTGACCTTTTCTCCATCGTCCACGCTCGCAGGCTCCGACCTCCTCTGTCATTGGATTTGTCCAGCATCGTTCATTTTGTCCCCTTCAAAGTTCGTTTGTAGTGATTTCTCTCCAATTTTGCACTGCTCATTTTGCATTTTAATGAAATGACCAACTAGCTGATGTCTTCACTAGGTCTTCAAGGGGTTCTCAAATAAATTATGTATGAAACTAGCTTGGTGCATATGATTTATATGCTCCATCCTGAGGAGGGTGTTGTAAATAATATAAATAATGTGGTGAGTTATGGAGAATAATGTCCCACGTAGGTGAAAATACAACCTTGTAACTATTTTATTTAGTTATAAGATCTTTCGTTGTGTTATAGACACACGGGTTCGGACATATCCTTCTTTCTTTCTCATTATTCAACTAGGCCTTATGAAATTCATGCTTTCTGCAAAGATGAGTTGGAGTGACTCATGAACCTTATGGATTCCCAAAGCAAGACCTATGGGATTTGCTCTCTTGCTATGATCGATAAGAACACCTGCTCTTAATCTTTTAACTGCATCTTGCATTGATCTTAATGAATAATGGGCTTTTAGACACTAGCACACCTGACCATATGACCTAACTGATAACGACTTTTTGTCTTATTAACCCACCTCTGTTGTCATATTGTAGTCGCCGTCTCATACATCAATTGTAGGTTTTGCAAACATTCAACTCCAACCCTCCTTATGCCCGACAAATGTGCTTCATGTTATAAAACTCTCTACTAATGTTTTCTCCGCTCATAAACTTAGCAAAGATTTAAATTGTGTTGTGACATCTTTTCTACTCGTTGTGTATTGATGTTATGTCATAAGTTCACTCGCAAGGCTTTTACCTCTGCCATTTGGCTCACCAAAGCATTTTGGACATCCTCTTTTTAGTCTTCTTAGAACTATAATTCCATCTTTATGTTTGTATGCATCTGTTGAGTCATTTTAGTATGATGTTTGTGCGTTTGCTAAACCCCACCATGTTTGCTAAACCCCACCATGTATCTTTTCCTCTAAGCTCAATAAAATGTGTTGAACTGTCTAATTTTATTCACTTTGATGTTTGGGGACCTTCAAAAGTGGCTAATGTCTCTGGTGTTAATTGATTTGTATCTTTTATTGATGACTATATCAAGTATCCTTGATTTTTCTGATGAAAACAATTTGGGGGAAAAAATATCAAAAATTCTATTCAAGTAATGGTACGTCAACCAGCCTCTCTCACAATTCGTTAAGGACAATGGTCTGATTCATAAACTTATATGTATTGACACCTCTCAATAGATAGAGGTTGCCGAATGGAAAATTTGTCACCTAGTGAAAAAGACCCGAGCATTACTATTCCAGATATTTGTTCCTAGCTCTTATTGGAGGAAGTTGTTTTAACTGCAACAAATTTTATTAATTGATTACCTTGTATCCTTAGCAAGTAAGTCCTATACACCTAATAACCTTTTTTTTTAATCCATTCCTATTATACAAGGTCTTCCATCTAAAGTCTTTAAGTGTGTTGCCTATGTTCATGTTCATAAACAATACCGTAGCAAACTTGACCCAAAGGCTGTTAAGTGTGTCTTCTTGACGACTAGTCTTTCTTTTCTTGTCCTCACCTTCCGAGAGAGAGCATTTTGGAGGTTTCATCTGAGTCTTTCATGTCTGAGACCTACTTTTCTGTGCCCGAGTCAACCCTAGAGTTCGTGTCTACTCTTCATGGCAAGTAGGAATTGGCAACTCTACCTGGTACCTCACCAGTAACATGTATTATCAATCAACGGAAGGATGGTACACCCAAATTGGTACATCAAAGGAGGAGAAATCCCAAATTGATCCAACAATAACAACCAACGGTAAGTATTGAAGACACTATATCCTTTATTTATGAGCTTGACATTATAAAATTCTTCTTTTGAATGATTGTAATTCTAATTCCGATGTCTTACCCAGAACCTCAGTAGCAAGCCCGGAATGAAAATATTCCTTCACCAACTTGAGGGGGAATGTTGGTGGTTGAGCCACCAACAACAACTCTTGACTTTTATATCAATATTAGTATATATATTGTAATTTTTTGTACATGAATAAACAAGCAGAAAATATACCATTTCAAAATTTCCATAGGGTTTTGCAGCAAAATGTAGGTTTTTTCTTCTTGCAGACAAGATCATATCATGTTGTATGGGAATAGGCCATTTTGATCTTAAGCATTTAATGTGAATCATTCTTGGCTAAAGTAATAGCTAGTATCTATCTGAAAAGTCGTGACTGAAATTCATTCAAAATGTAGAACTAGCCAGTAATGATCCTGTAGTTTAATGGCACTTTTATGATCACTAGGGGCTGTGAAGTTGAGGGTGAGGGTTTCGATCTCTCCGGTCATTTCTCAATTCCCCACTTAGATCCGAATAGGTCTTCATTTCTTTTAGTTGTGGGCTGATCCTGCTTGACTGTTTTGGCCGTGAGGCTAACGATCTCGTGTGTAGGTACCGGCTTGCTTGGACCCTATTAAGAACAACATATCTCCTGCATATCCTACGACCCCCCATGATCAAGTTACAGATGAATCTCAAGTGCGTATGATCTCGAGAAGGTCATCAAGAAAGCTGCTAGCCAAAAGTTTGCTGCTTCTAGGGGGTGCAATATGCCTGTCTCGCGGTCACTCTAGCCTAGGTGCTAAAGTTGCCATGGCATACATCTTAACAAAGCTTAGTAAACGTGATGCTAGATCAACTTAGGATCTGCTTGATTTAGGTTTTTGAAGAACTTATTTAAGAAATAATTTTGTAATGATTAATTTGTTCAGCAATGATATTTTAAAGGTAATTATTACTTTTGTTTAAATACTGTAAAGTAAAATTAATTTTATATAAGAAATAACCAAAAATGACATGAAAGTGGCTTTAGTTTATCATTAAAAAAGAGAAATATTATTATATTAATTTGTCGTTGGAAATTTTCTTATGTTGTAAGAAAAAAATTATCTCATGTAATAGAAACAAAATTACAAGTGTGGCCCACAGATAAGAGGAGAAAAAAAAATTAAAGTGGGACTCACCTCTCTTTTGTGTGTCTAGAAAATTAGCTTCTCTTATGTAACATGAGATAAATATAATCATTTCTTTATACTATCAAATAATCATGTATTATTAGTTTATTAAAGGAATTTACAACTAATACCTAAAAGTCTAATTCATGTAATGTGTGTACAAAATTTTCCCATGTCATGGTCAAATTTAAACTCTATATTTTATGTAAATGAATCTCTATAGATAAAAAGTTTACCTTAACAAGAATTGATAGGTTTTTTTTTTTTTGTTTTATTAATCTCATGTTAAAAGAGATAAGTTATCTCATGTCATAGAGACAAACTTGTGGGCTTCACCACCTGAAAAAAGAAAAGAAAAATGTGGCACAGTTAACGAAGGGTCTGTAAGAGAAAAATTTATCACATATAGCATAAGAGTAGTTTTTTTTTTTTTATCACAATAGCTTTTTTAAATAAAAAAATTTCTTCGTTAAAGTCTTTTTCAAAAGTAAATTAATCTAATGCAATTAGAGAATCTTGCACATAATTGATACGAGACTAAGGGTTCGTTTGGATGGGCTTTTGAAAAACGGACTTTTTATGAGTTTCTTTTTTTAAAAGAACTTATTTTAAAAGTTGAAGTTATTTTATGTTTGGATGCAATATTTAAAAAATATTTGTGAGTAAAAATATCATTTAGATGTTAAAATAAAAAAAGTACTTTTAAAATATAAAATTATCGTTATGCCCTTAAAAAAAATCTTTTTTTCCCAAAAAAATTCCCTCCTTCCCTATCACCCTAACCCTAATTTTTCTTTCCTATTCTTTGAAACACATCAGGGATAGCAATAGTCACCTCTATAAACCCTTCGATTCCCATTTTCACACCACCACCTAGTTTGACGTCTTTCAGCTGCATAATTATTGTTGTTTGGTCTAGGCTGACTTCATGTTTCGATTTTCACATGATGCTGGTTTGGTTTGATATTCTTGATTTACTATTTTGGTATGTTTGTTTGCCGCGGGTTGGAGTGACTAAAGTAAAAAGGATATTTTGTGTACCATTTTCCTTTTTACACCGATTTGGTCCCTACTTTTGTTCACGGTCACCGAATTACCCATCAACATTCTTAGGGTGCATTAAAACAAAAGAGGATATTTTGTGATAGAAATTATCACTATTTTTGCTGGGTACCGTTAAGCTGTGTTGTGGTTGTTTAATTTTGAAGTGATATATATTGTAGTTGGGTGAAGGAATGAAAAGTTGGGAGAAGAGAAAAAATGAAGGCAAAAAGGAGGAAGAAGAACATTGCAGCTGAGATGGATCCCGAAGAGAGATGGATAAAAAGGAGGGTTTTTGAGTTACTTTTGACTTCTTCTTCTTTCAAAAATTAAAATTTTTAACTTCTCAAAAAAGTTAAATTCTGACTTTTTAGCTGGCTTTTTCTTTTATTAAAAGCCACATCCAAATAAGTTAAAAAAAATTAAAAGTACTTTTAAAAAAATAAAAACAGCTTCTGGAGGGCAAGAAGCTCATCCAAACGACACTTAGTCCCACATCAATTATGTGGCGGGCTTCTCTAGATTTATTATTGGCATGCGGGATAATCAAAAAATTGAAAATATTATTTTTTTTAATAAAAAATTGTAAAAACATAGCAATTTGAAAATAACTTACAGATTTATTGTATTCAATCACATCCCTAAAAATTATTGTTGTCAAAAACTAATCTAAAAATGTAGAAACGGTAGAAATGCAGTATAACATGTTAAAACGTAAGTAGAAACAATTATTAATAGAAAGCACTATAAAATAATAACAGTCAAATATTTCACTTTTTTTAACCTTATAATATTTTAGAAAGTAAAGCAATTTTCGTGTGATGTTGGTTAGACTTTATTTGTTATAAACCTAAAGAATCAGAAAGCAAGGCACATAAAAGGATAATCTTGCTTTGGAGACTTCAGAATGAAAGGGTTGAGATCAGTGTTATTAAATCCGATCCGGGCATTGATTCGGTCGAAATACTGGGTTATTGGTCGGACTAGTGGGTCACTGGTCGAACCGGTTGACCCGGATATATATAGATATATAGAAATATATATAATATGAATATATAAATTCAATTATATTCTTTATATCTAAAATGAATTAAACAAGGTTCATTAAATAAGCTCAAAAATTTGAAGCATAAATAAATAAAAATACAAGCTATTATTATGTCAATTTAAATTGCAACTCAGAATCCCCATAAACATACCTCTCAATAACATTGAATTCATATTTTTCAAATTCAACTACATTAAAAATGATATATGTCACATTCTCTTAATTTATTATTCCACAAATTGCTTCAGTATTAGAAGTTGAAATTTGAGGTCACTGTAGAAGAGTATACTAGCAAATAAAATTATAAAAAATTCTTAAAACGAGCTCTACATTTTTTTGACAAAATTAAATAATTTTGGTTTTTTAATTTTTTTTTTTAAATGCATGACCTGACCGGGTCATTAGGTCACCAGGTCACCGGTTTTGGCCGAGTTTTGACCAAGTCGATGTATGACCGGTCCAATGCTTGACTCGAACCGGTCCAATGCTTGACCCGAACCGGTCCGATGTCCAGTTCACCGGGTTCCGGGTCGGGCCAGGTTTTACAACTATGATTGAGACTTATAGAAGAACAAGTGGTAAGTGGGTTGCAGAGATCTCTATTGTTATTTAGATTCTCGAGTTGTTTATTCACCTACTAAGAAAAATACTAAACACTGTTGTAAAATATAAACAACACAAAATTAATTTTTTGAAAACTATATGCATTAAAATTTAAACCAATGTACATTTTAACATAATTATTAAATTGAATTAATTAATATTATGTGAATATTTAAATATATAATCATTTATTATTCCGTTTAACTCTTAGATTTAGAAATATAAGCATAGAGTTTTCTCATGTTGTAGGAACACCCGACACAATGTAATATGTAATATTTTAAAAAGTATATATAAATAAAATATAAAATATCTTAGATATTTAGATAAAATATCTTAAATATTTATAAACGTAATGATTAAGATTCCTTAGATATTTGTAAAGGTAATGATTAGATTCCTTAGATTTTTATAAAAAGTAATGATTACATTCCTTTTTCAAAAACTATAACCCCCCTCCCCCCAAAGTTGCGTAGAGAGGAAGGAGAGAAAGAGAGAGAGAGAGAAAAAGAAAGAAGGAAAGAGAGAAAGAAAAGAGAGAGAAAGAAGGAAAGAAAAAGAGAGAGAGAAAGGGAGAAAGAGAAAAGAAGAAGAAGAGAAAGAAAGAAGAAAAAGAAAAGGAAAGGTAATATTGAGAGTAAGCAACTCATTCTCTATGTTATGTTTAAAATTGTTATTTAGAGTTATTTCTTTAAAAGTTGTGAATATGTCGTTACTCTGCCAAAATTATTTTATGAATTCTTTCTACTCTTTTACTTTATTTTATATATTTGGCTTTGTTAATTTGATGAATTTACTTATAGTAGATGTGAGAATAATTTTGAATCAAGATTATAAAAAATTAAAGAATTTCTTTGGTACCAATTGAATACTAATGGAATATGTAATCTTTTACAAAATGATTCTGATGTGACTGGCCCACAAGAGGATCAAAATGCTTATAGGGTGAGGGACGTCTTATCATGACTTGATCTCCTCCATACAGAACATTTCACATACATAACACACAGAGTTTGGATGCTCCAGAATTGAGCATTAGTCATTTCAGTTAAAGATTACACGTTCCTATATATGTATCTAAAACCCACAAAGTTTGGGTTGAACCCACAAAGGTTTGGGTATGATTGAATGAAGAACCCACAAAGATTGGGCTTATATTTATTGTTTATGATATTATTTTCTTATTATAAATTTTATTCTGTGAGAATGATATTTTTCACTAAAGTGGTTGGATTGGTTATAGTTCGAAAACCCCAATATTACTGAGATTTATCTCACGTGTGTTTATTTTTATGCTAACCTTTCTAGAGTAAACAGACCAGTATATGTAGCTTTGGAGTAGGATAAAGCACTGTGGCTAAAGACGTTGAAGACTATATGGAGCTTAGTGGAGCAAATTAATAGAAAGAAAATGTTTCTAAATAGTTTAGATTATAATGTATTTCTGATGTAATAGTGAACTTGACTTCTGTATAATTAAAGATTAAGAATATTTTGTCATATGCCTTATTTCATATCTGTTGCGTTAGAATTTCACTTAAGAATTAATGTGATATCTTCTATCCTGTCAGTTATAGAGGATCTTACATTTTATGGTATCAAAGCAGTGATTCAGGTAAATAAAAGACCTAAACCATTATAGTTGCTTGTATTTTGTCATAGATCATGCATATTTTGAGTTATTTTAATGAGCCTGATCAACTCACTATCATAAAACAATATATGTAGATCTATGGCAGATACAAAGCAGATATCTTCTTCAACTTCTGAACCAGAAGTTAACCCAGTAACGGATGCGTTTACCCGAGTGGTAGAAGCTCTTAGAGAACAAACTATGACTAATCAGCAAATTATTCAGTAGTTGAGGGAGGATCGTGCAACCAGAAATCACACCCATAATTCTGAAAGTGAAAATGGACCTAGAACTGCAGATACTTAGGGAGGACTTAATTCTGATTATAAATGACTCAATGAATTCCGTAAGCATAAGCCTTCCACTTTTTGTGGAGATTATAACCCTGAGACAGCCATGGAATAGGTGAAAGAACTTGAAAAAATATTCCTGGTAATGGACTGTCCTAATACTCATCGTGTAAACTTTGCCACGTACTTATTGATTGGAGAAGTAGAGCATTGGTGGACAAATACCAAAAGATATTTCCAAAGCCAAGGAACAGAGATTACTTGGACAATCTTTAAAGATGCCTTTTTGGAAAAATATTTTCCTCAAAGTGTAAGAAACAGAAAAGAAATAGAATTCCTTGAACTGAAACAAGGAAACATGACCATTGGAGAATATGTAACAAAATTTGAAGAACTGTCTAGATATTCTACTTATGTACAAAATCAACCTAATGAGGAATGGTTGACAACTAAATTTGAATCTGGACTAAAATCTAAACTAAAAAGCATGATAATAGGACACCAAATCAGGAACTTTTCATCATTAATAAACAGGTGCAAAGATATTGAAGCAAGTATGAAGTAGGCTGAGGATGCAAGAGAGAAAGACAGAGCCTCAAATCGGAGAAGGAATGATGACAACAATAAAGGAAGGTTTCCACGGGCGCAAAACTCGGGAAATAATTTTGCTAGCAATGGAGGGAAGAAGAATGCGGGTTAGATGAATTTTCAGATTCAGGTATGTCCAAAATGCAAGAAAAATCATGCTGGAGAATGCTTGGTAGGAAGAGGTGTGTGCTTTAAGGGTGGGAAGCCTGGACATATGTTGAGGAATTGTCCTTAGAATCAAGGTCAGAATTCATCAAACCAACCTACAACAAGAGGAAGAGTTTTCACCCTAAGTGGTCAGGAAGCGGCTCAAGCTTCAAACTTGGTTCAAGGTACGAGCTTAATACAAGATTCTCTTATAACTGTACTTTTTTATTCCGGGGCTACTCATTCTTTCATATCCTTATCTTCTGCTCAAAAGTTAAAATTACCAATTTCTATTTTACCTTCTTATCTTGAAATCTTTCTTCCTACTGGAGAAAAGATAATCACATCTCAAGTCTGTAGAAATTGTCATTTTCAACTCGAAGGGATATTGTTTGAGGTAGATTTCGTTTGTTTCCCTTTTATGCTAACCTTTCTAGAGTAAACAGACCAGTATATGTAGCTTTGAAGTAGGATACAACATTATGGCTAAAGACTTTGAAGACTATATGGAGCTTAGTGGAGCAAATTAATAGAAAGAAAATGTTTCTAAATAATTTAGATTATAATGTATTTCTGATGTAATAGTGAACTTGACTTTTGTATAATTAAAGATTAAGAATATTTTGTCATATGCTTTATTTCATATCTGTTGCGTTAGAGTTTCACTTAAGAATTAATGTGATATCTTCTATCTTAGTCAGTTATAGAGGATGTTACATAATAGATCCATAAATTGGTTTCAAAATAGTATATTTTCGTAATTTTGTATTTAAATAATAATATATTAATTTTTTTGCAAAGTCTCAAGCCTATGTTTATAATATATTAATTTAAATAATAATATAAATTAATTTCAAAATGCTATGTTTTCATAATATGTTATTTAAATGCAATAGATCCACTTGTTCTCCTATGAGTGGTAGGCATAAAAAAAAATGTTACTATATCATATCGTAACCGTTGATTTTCGTTAATTAATGATTATTATTTATTATGAATTAATAATTAATTAATAAGTTTGATTCGTGAAAATCAATAATTAAGATATGATAAAGATATTGATAGTAACATTATTTAACGGTAGTAACACTATCTTATTCCACCAAAATATGCTATTCCTAATAATAATAGGGCTTTATACTTCTCCTTGGCAGTAAAACAAAAATTTTTCCGGCAAGTGTAATATGAAAAGATGAAGGAAGCCGAAAAGCATATACAAAAAAAAGAAAGAGAAAGACTAAAAGGGATTTAAGGCAAAACGTTGTCGTTTCCGATTGCAGGAAAAAACTTTATTTTGCCGACGCAAAGCCCATAATAATAATAATAATGAATGTATACTTTTGATAAAATTTCAGATAATGAAATTTTTATAAAAAAGAATAAATAAAATTTCTAAATCTGCGGGTGAGCTCCGCAAGAGTGTGTGATTTTCCTTGCATTCCGCAATGGCGCTAACCTTTGAAATTGACAGCCATTTTTAGGCGTCTAATTCATACCCGTTTCCTTCTCCTTCCTAAATTTAGCCAAACACAAAAACTTGCGAATCTGTGCTCAATGTTTCTTTCTATGTTTATTCTCTTCGAATTTCTTCGAACAAAAGACAAACACCATCTAACTTGTTTCCCTTTCTGCGTCGTGCCATTCCATTGTGCTGGAAGATGCACCACAACCTTGCAAGGTTGTGGATTGCTTTGCTTGCGGTCTCAACCACGCTAGTTCATTGCAAAACTGCCTCCCAAGATGGTATCCAAACTTTGCAACTTTCCTTCTTGATGTGTAACGAATAATTGGTTAAATGCATTGTTCAATTTTTCAAATTATTATGATTATCGATGAACTTGTGCAGTTTCAGCCCTTAATGTGATGTATACCAGCTTAAATTCTCCTTCACAACTGAGTGGCTGGAAATCAAGTGGAGGTGATCCTTGTGGCGACTCCTGGGAGAGAATAAAATGCTCAGGCTCATCTGTCACAGAAATGTAATAGTCTTGTACCCGCTGTAGACTATATTTATGTAAATTCATCAACAGAGATTACCGTCTATTTATTACACTAATGGTTGTCAAAAGTTTTTTTTTTTTTATCTGGAGTTGAGTTGAGGCATAGGCATTCTAACTATTTTCCCTTCCCTTGTAACAATTAACAGAAATTTATCTGACCTGGGACTTACTGGATCAATGGGCTACCAGCTGTCTAGCTTAACATCAGTTACTTATTTGTGAGGCCCAGATCTTCAAATAGACACTTCCTTTTTTCTTTTTCTTTTTCATTTGCAATGAGAGAACATCACTTAAATGCCATGCATTAATTTTTCGTAGTACAGTGATTTGAGCAACAACAACCTCAAGGGTGATATACCGTATCAACTTCCTCCAAATGCTCGTTACATGTAAGTCAGTTTCATATATATAATGGCGCCAAATATAACGCTACTACCTCATTACTCCATGAATATACCGCTACTACTGCACCTAAAAAGTTATATATTTTTTTTTTCAGTAAGTATAAGTTAAACTTTTTAGGGTTCTTGACCGGGTATCAGAATTAACATGACCAAGTAATCAGGAGTTGGATTTTTACCACCTCATTCTTCTAATTAAATTATTATTTCAGCACAAGATATGGTGGTTCTGGACTTTGTCCAAGCTTCAATCCCTGAGAGCTTTACATCCTGGTGTGTGTTAAAGATATAAATCATTTGGCAACAAACCCACAACATGGGTCCGATACTACATCTCAACCTAAAACTTTAAGACATTAGGTTTATAAGTCCTTTCAACCGCCATCGATGGGCTAAGTAAACAACAACGTTAAGTGGGCTTAGAAAACTATAATCTCAACCCAAAACCTTAAGACATTGGATTTATGAGTCCTTTCACTTATATGTGCTATGTTTAGCCCATTCTTTTCTAATGTATGATCTTTTATCACTCACTTGAGTTCACAATAGGTTTGCACCTAATAACTTAATCTTTTAGAATGATTGTTTCTTGATTGTAAGTTCCCATATATTGGTCTTGTTTAAGAGTTATTGAGCTTTTCCCACTTAACATAATTTGGTAGATTTTTGGAAACATCCTAAGATATTAGTCAATGTGATTTTAAATTTTCCAAGTTTGAATATATGTTTTATGCTATTTCCTAAAACTAAAAGTGTTTCCAAACTTCCCTGTGTTATCCAAAAAAGAAAAAGTGTTTCCAAACATTTGGATTCGTTCCCCTTTAATTTAAAAAAGGATGGTCAAAAGTGTAATCTGCTCAGAAATTTTCTTCTTCCAGGTAGCTTGCATTTGATTGGCGTCATGTTTGTCATCAATAATTCTGTTATCTTGTCATGCAGAGATCTTTCTAAGAATGGCTTCACTGGAGGTGTACCTTATTCCATTTCTCAGATGAGTGACCTCAACCACCTGTAAGAAAAGTGCCTTTCTATTTTATTTTATTTTCATTTTTCTCATAACTTTTCTTTTGTTTCTCAACATGTTATGTGTAAAAAACAATTTCAACCCAAAAACTTAAATTGTTAGGTGTTCATGGTTATATTATATTTTCCAATACCATGTCAAGAACATTTCAACTCAAAGCTTGACCTGTTAGGTGAAAGTCACATTAATGATTTTATATTATATTTCTCTAACATTATTTATGCAGAAATCTTGGACATAATCGGCTCAATAACCAGTTGGGAGACATGTTCAAGAAACTCACTAAACTCAAACAACTGTAAGTGTCACAATTCTTGCAGTAAGGATTCTAATATCTTGATCTGTACTTTCTTGCTATTGCTGATTTTGGCATTTAATTGTAGTTAAGGTAGAAGTTATTAGTAAGAACCCGGTTCCAGCCATATATTAAATAATTTTGCATTAGGACATGTAAACGAGTAAGTGAACTCATTCATTGTTGCTTGAGGTGATTCATTTTTACTTTAAGATTGTTCTGTTATGGAAACATCTCTCTCTTTCTTTTTCATTTTCTTTTTTTTTGATTTTGTTAACTTGAATCCACTGTTATATTGAGCTTTTAAGGATTTTTTCCTCTGTGCTGATGCAATGAGTCCCCTTCTGAAAAGCTTCTATATCGCTTGTACAATACCTGCTATATTTCATATATAACTACTGACACTTATATTTTATATATTAATGAAAATGGTGCTTCTGTGTATGTATTCAAAACTGAAGTATATAAACCCTTTCCCCTTCTTATTTGACTTCTTATCACATGATTATCAGGTTCCTTCAGACATGAAATTTTTATTAACCATTAACCATTGAATAACATATAGGGATTTATCATTCAATTCAATGTCAGGAAACCTGCCTCAGAGTCTTAAATCACTCTCAAGCCTCAAGAAGTTGTAAGAACTAATCACTACCACTGTCACAGAATATATATTAACCTGTAGTTGACATCTGAACTGTTTACCTTCAATTTGTCCTTGTACAGGCATCTGGAAAACAATCAATTCTCTGGTTCTGTAAATGTTCTTGCAAACCTTCCACTTGAAGAATTGTAAGTTCATGTTTGCCCTCATTAGAATGATTTTCCATTGCCCCCCGCTTTCCTTTTTTAAATGTTCAAGTATCTTCATATATTTGACTCTTTAGACTTGCAGTGCAGCAGTTACACCTAAATAATATGTCTAAGATCATCTAGATGTGTGTATGTATCGTATTTATGCATGACTATATTGTATTTATTCATTCCATTATTTGCAGAAGAACCATGAGCAACATCTTTCATCACGAGGAAGTAAAATGTCAAAGTTGTTTAGTCAATTTGTGAATCAGTAAAGACAAAGATGTTTTAACTTAATGGGTCAATTTTAATTTTATAATGTGGATTAGTGGTGCAATCTGTTGAAGAAAGATATTGAATTGGATTTTCTCTTCCTAGAGACTGAGTTATAATAAATAAATTATTATTTTAATTTTAACAGGAATGTTGAAAACAACAAATTTACTGGCTGGTTTCCTGAGGAGTTAAAGGATATAAATAGCTTGGAGTAAGTATTTTGCTACACTCATTTTTTGAAGGATGCTGTACTTAGGTTTTTTCTCTAACCTTGTGTTGTTAATTCCAAAGAACTGGAGGAAACTCTTGGTCAACTGGGCCAGCACCTCCTCCTCCTCCTGGTACACCCCCTATCAAGCATTCTGAGAAAAAGAAGAATGAAAAATCTGTTGTTAGTGGAGTAGCTATAGCAGGCATAGCTTTTGGTGTTCTGGCAATAATTATAATTGTCATTGCTCTTTCAAAAAAAAGGTCATCTTTAAGGTCATCTTTACCTTCTTCACATTTTATGGATGAAGAGAAGAATAGTCAGCGTAGATCTTTTACACCCCTTGCATCTCAGGAGTTATCCAAAGATTCGGGTGCTGATGTCAGCAAAGAATACAAAGGTGGTCTTTTTTTATTGAGATTTTTAAATACTTTCTGTCATTCATGACTTCTTGCAATTCATATTTCTTATGTCAGCCAAAATATTTTTCCTTTATGTTTTCTGTGAAAAATTTCGCTGAAGAAATTTTGCTAATATATATTGTGAGATATAACTATAGTGTAAAAGAAGCAACTGTGGATAGACAGTAGCTGCTTTTGACTCTGTTTGATTAATTAAAAACCAACTGTATCTATTTATATTTGTTGCAGATTTCATTTTAATTTTCTTTTTCCTTGTAAGGAGTGTTGAATTTAGATATATGTGTTCCCTCTTGTCGTCATGACTTAAGTTGATATTTTCTTCATATTAGTTTATACACTAGTTTATGTTCTGATGACAGAACTTGACTGATTTGATGAGTAGATGGTCTATAATATGGCATGGTAAATTCTTATGACTCAATGATTGAACCTTGTTACAGATAAAAACTCTTTGGATTTGCACACCTTAAATTTTTGGATGAGTTGATACATGACAAACTTTTGGTGTTTGTTAAAAAAAAAATTACCTCCATATATAAGTTTTTTAAGTCATTTTGGCACATTTTGACATTTGCAATATGGAGTTGACATCGTCATTCAATTGAATTCAAATGTTATATTGGTTACAGGATTTAAGTCATTGGACTCCACTTCAATTGACATAAAGACTTTGCAAAAAGCTCCATCAATTGATGTTAGGTCATCAATCTCTGATTGTGTGCAATCTTTTAATGACATTGAGTTTGCAAATCGTCTAAATGCTAGAAGAAGCACATCAATCCGTTGTATTCCTTTTTCATTGGCAGAGTTGCAGACTGTTACTGCTAATTTTGCTTCAGGTCGACTTCTTGGCGAAGGATCCATTGGACGTGTTTATCGGGCCAAATATGCTGATGGAAAGGTAGTTCCTGTTTAATTAAACTATGCATGAGCTTTAGTATAAACTAGTCATGGATGAAAAATTCATAAGATTAGCTAAGAAGCACCAGTGAGTCAGATGTCTTTCCAATGAAAATGCCAATGCATATATGACACACCTATGTTCATGTCTGACTTGCAGCCATAATTGTTGAAATTAAAATTTAACTCTTATTGGGTGAGACATGGCTTTGGGACAACCTTGGCTGCATTTAAATTAAAAAAAATAAAACTTACTTTTGACTCTGGGAAACCTTTACCGTATGTTATTTTATCAGGTATTGGCTGTGAAAAAAATCAACTCTTCACTTTTCCATGGTGGCCCTCCTGAGGAATTCTCTCAGATTGTTTCAAACATCTGGAAACTTCACCACCCAAATATTGCTGAGCTTGTTGGTTATTGTTCAGAACAGGAACACATGTTAATATATGATTATTTCAGAAACGGCTCTCTCCATGACTTTTTACACTTATCAGATGACTTCAGCAAACCACTCACTTGGAACACCAGAATCAGAATTGCATTGGGAACAGCTCGGGCTGTTGAGTTAGTCTATATCTAGCATATAATACTTGCATTTTGACGTAGCTGTTGTGACAGTATGAAAAACATATTCCAGCATATGGATATGCATCTATAGTATTAATTTATGCACCAGAAGTGTGGTCCACTTAAACCAGTGTTTAGTGCTGCATTCTTCCTAGATAGGAATACCGCATTCCTTTTTCTTTTCTTTTTTTGTGGTATTTTCCATTAAATTCCAGATTATACATTTATTTTCATATTACAATTTTAAAAACTCCTTATTTTAGTTTGTTTCATAGATATGTATAAGAATGATATTACTTAAAGACAATGATATATAATTATTTATAAAAATTCAAGTACTCAACAAATTTTTTGAGTTGGATAACTTATGGTTTCCCATGATATTCAACCCAATTCCATGATGGATCTCAGTTCAAATAATAATAATTTTTTTTAAACAATTATAATCTTTCTTTTTACATTAATTGCATTTAAATATTATTACCACCATTCATTTATGGACACAATCTGAATATTCAGGTACCTACATGAAATTTGTTCTCCATCTTTAGTTCACAAGAATATCAAGTCCTCCAATATTTTGCTTGACACGGATCTGAATCCTCGTCTCTCAGACTATGGTTTGGCATCCTTCTATCAGGTTTTTCTTGTTTGTCTCCCACGTATTGAATATGTGTTTCCTTTTCTTTACTGCCTCCATGGAATTTTGATATGATCTTTTAACATTCCTAGCAAGGAGAAAGAAAAAAAAATTTAGAACAATTCCTTTTCTAGCCTATTATGCTGCCAGCATTCAGCATAGTAGGCCTTTGTTTCTTAAGATTTGTTTTTAGTATCCTTATTTCCTCATAAATTCTAGTTGCTCTTTGACGACTATTGTAGAAAATAAACCTAGACTCTCTAGAGTCTATATTTTGTTATCATTTAAATTTTAGAGAAGTTCCCATGAATTAATGCGAATTTGAGTATTTTGTGTCTTCAAGGCTTACTATTGCTGTTATTCCCCGCCGCCACCCCTGCCTGCTCTTCCCCCTTCCCCTCCCCTGCGGTGATTCTTATCAGTTCACTAAATGCAGACAAGAGTTCCTCAAATCTGGGTTTTTGGCCTCTTTACATACCTAAAAAGTCTAATTAATTTCTGCCTGCTTGCAAGAATTTTGTGCTGCAAATGAAAAGGATTAGAGACTTGATAATATTTTATTTCATCTCGAATAGAAATCAGATTTCAAGGTCATGTTACTAGGAAACTGGGGTTAGACTAATCTTAAAAATATACGCTCTAGTTTATTTCTCTTCTGATCACGTTTAGGCATATCTGCAATTTGAGGGCCTACGGTGGATAAATGTAAAGGAATTTGAACACAATAAAGTATTAGAATATATTAAAAATATATCATAATATATACTTTAGAATATGTTATGTGATCTCTTAGAAATATTTTCCTTATTTTTTTTATATTTCATAATTTCCGCTAACATGACACGAAAAATTCGTGTTCGGGTCGACTTGTTTTCAAATTTATTTCGTGTTTGTGTTCGCAAAAATTGACACGAAAAAATTTGTGACATGTTGCATGTTAAACTCCAAACCCGAAATTGACCATTATAATAAACAGCACACTTAGCTTACCAAAAAAAAAAACACACTTTGAGATTGATAGGTTATTTGTTGTGTCATGTCATGCCAACCCACATAATAAATAGTACACTTAGATATCGAAGGTTTTAACTTATTTTCAAATTCGTATCATGTTCATATTTGTACTATCGTCAAATTTATATCATATCGTGTCATATCGTGTCAACCCCAATTATCACCCCCTATCTTTTTCTTCCTTCTTTGCCTAAATACCTATAATGTCAACCTAACGTCTAGATATATTGACATTGCCTATATTATAATTTTTCATCTGGACTATATTGTGTTTCAAGTACATTTTTAATTTCTACCTGCTCAATTAATCAGACTCTTAAAATATACCTGGGCAGAATTTTTTTATTTAATTATATTTGAAAGTTACATTATTCAGTCCTGGTAAGATCCCCGGATTTATCTTTTTTTATATTGACTTCTGCTATTAGTTGTCAAAGTTTAAGTATGCAAAGCAGCAATGTATTTGGAACTGTAGAACTTGTCATGGAACTCAGTGATGAGAAAGCTTTTTGGGTAGGATCTTTATTTGGCCAAATATTCAAGATAGATAAATTTCTAGATAATGGGCTATGGGTATTTAAAAAAAAAAACAGGAGATATATGTAACATCCCGAGCGCTGACGAGGGCGGGGAGTGATCGCCGGTGCGAAAGGGCATGGACAAGGAGCGGCTCCTGACAGGCTTCCAGTAGAGGGTTACATGCATGAATGATTCGAATCGACACCCGAAAGAGAGGGATTCCAAAGACTGTGCAAGTGTGAGACTGCACAGTTTGGGATAGCTTATAAGAATTAATTGGTACTACCTATGCTAATAAGATGCATCTTCTGTTCGGTAGCTCAGAACGGAAGAACTCCATAGTTAAGCGTGCTTGACTTGAAGCAATTCTGGGATGGGTGACTTCCTGGGAAGTTTTTCTGGGAAGTGTGCGAGTGAGAAAAAAGCACACTGAAAAGTCTCGTGTTAGTATGTGGGGATAGTCGTTGATTCTTGAAGCGGCCGGGCGTTACAATATATGTGGGGAATTTGCTTGTCCAACTTAGTATTGAGTTATGCTAAATTTTCTTTATATTTATTGGAAAGGTTGGGATAAATGTTGCATCAAAACTAAAACTAAGGAAAACATAGTAGAAAGCCAGTAATTCGCTGGTAAAACACAATTGTATGATATGAGAAAAATCAAAATTCATTCATAGAGGGAAAATAAGAGACAAAAATTAAGTAAAGCCTCACTTTTGGTTCTGAGATCTTTTGTGTCTAAAAACCTAATTAAATTCTTCAGCTCCTCTATTTAATGTGAGAGGGTTTTAAAAACTACACACAAAATTGGCCGAAGTATCCAACTGATTTTTCCTTTTCCTTTTGCATATATTCTACAGTTTCTTTCTTCATCTCTTATATTGTGATTTTGATAATCACTCCTACTGTCTGAAAATTAGGTGAAATACCATAGAGAAGGTGGCCAAAAGACTCAAATCCTATTTCTCACATATTTGAATTAATGCTTTTGTTTATGTCATTTTACTGATGGACTTGGCAGTAATTATGCCTATTAAGTGGCATTTGCACATCTTGGAGACTCTGCTTATTTCTTGTGATAAACTGCCAATGTGGCCTTACTCTGATTAGTGTTTTATGTAGTTTCTTTCCAAAAATACCCTGTAATGTATGAGTCTTGTTTGTTCCAGCGTACTAGCCAAAATCTTGGGGCAGGATATAATGCACCAGAATGCACAAAACCTTCAGCCTATACCCTGAAAAGTGATGTATACAGTTTTGGGGTAGTCATGCTGGAATTATTGACAGGTCGAATGCCTTTAGACAGGTGCTTAATTACATTCTCTATAATCTAATTTCGTTTCCTTCTCTCTTTGTTGAAGCAATCTATGCAATATTCCATATCTGAGATAAAGTTTTATTGTCTTCAGTTCAAAGCCAAAACCAGAACAATGTCTCGTTCGTTGGGCCACCCCACAGCTTCATGACATCAATGCGTTGGAAAAAATGGTTGACCCTGCCTTGCGGGGACTTTACCCTCCTAAATCACTCTTCCGATTTGCTGATATCGTCGCTCTTTGTGTTCAGGTGAGTTATGAGTGTACCACGTCCTACATATATACCAGAATCAGTTTTGTATCTTGATTTTAAATTAATTGCCATTATATGACTTGATTATAATCGCATTCTAAGTATTTTAATACAATTCTTTCTATTAGTCTGAGCCCGAATATCGGCCATCTGTGTCAGAGGTGGTTCAGGCATTGGTGCGATTAGTTCAGCGTTCAAGTATGAAAATGAGAGAGGAACTTGAAGCCTATGGTCGGATCGATGATTATGATGACTCATCCATTGTATAAATGTCACATATTGAATGAAGAAGCCCTTGCCACCCCCACTTCTCAACTCGTGGTCACTTCGATAGATGTACTATTTATAGAAATTTCAGTGATCCCAGCGTTTTGAATTTTTTATTTTTTTTCTTCATAAAAGTAGTCGTAGGTTGTACTAGAAAAGCTTTTGGAAAATTATAAAGATTTGTTTTTTGGAACAATTTTAGGGAGATAATTATTGAGATGTGTAAAACCCAAGAAAAAAGGATACCTGGTTGAACACAAGTATTCCTGTTTGGCTGTGTTGATGCGTTTCGTACACTTACAAGTTTGAAACATGGAGGGAGCAGGATACTTTTCTATTAAGATGGTGTTCGGTGACTTTGGTTAGGCAACTAAAATTGCTTTGACAAGTTTTTCTTATACAATCTTTTATATCATACGCATACAAGATCCCTTGTATGTATCGCAATTGAATCAATCTGTGCGTATGAGTTCAAATAATATAAAATAATTTTATGAAAATATATGTTACAATTACAATTGTTTTATGTGATCGCATAACTTTTTTTTTTTTTAGTAGTTTGATCGCATAACTTCACTTCACTTGGGAGGTTCTAAACCCACATTATCTACGACTGTTGATGAAAAACTTGACATTTTTTTTATAAATATACGAGATGTAAAACTAGTCCTCTAAAGATTTTAAATGTATATTTTCTTTTATATTGTAAAACAAGCATTAATTTAGAGACTAAAATAATATTTGAAAAAAAAATAATAGTAAAGTTAATATCAATTTTAAATATTAAATAATCAAATTGATATATTCCGGAAATCTTTGAAAGACTAATTTCTTTTCATACCTTTTTTGGGTAGACTCTTTTTATTTTTATTTTATTTTCACTCTTGTTCTTTTATCTAGGATATGGTCCTAGATAAATAGGTATGAAAACTATAATTGTAGACCACTATCAAATCTATGGAAATATATGTTTATACATTTCTATTAATCTCAATTTTAGGAATTTTTTTTTCTATTATTTTTAGAGAATCCCTTCAAATTCCAATTAAAAAGATGGAATGATATTTCATGATCTTGGGAGACGTAACTTGACTAACTTCAACTGGCCCCCAAATTCTTCAAATGCATTTATTTGTTGTTCAGAGGGTTGCCCAAAAATAGTATATAGGGCATGTCAATCAAAACTTGACGAGTAAACTAGATATAGAGATGGGAACTAGGGTTGTTGTTTCCATTAATATATAATTTCAAGACCGCAATGAATTTATAGGATGAGATCCTTTATTTGCAGTAGAATGATATACACAAATCTCAATGAATAGAAAAATGATTTATGGCTACACAAATCATTGAGAATAGTTCCAGATCTGCTCCAAGACTAACTATTGTAGGAGATTTATTGAAACAGCTGAATTCAGAATATGGTAGAGTTGCTTCGGGGTGAGGGACTGCTCATTTGATGGGTGTTGTAATGACTCTATTTGCTATCTTTCTATTTATTATTTTGGAGATTTATAATTCTATTTATTATTTCTTATGTTTCATATGGTCCTTTTTTAGTTTTTTTTCCCTTCATCTCCCCCACTTCTTCTTGTCCCTTTCTTTTTTACTTTTATTTTATTTATATATACATATCTATATACATATATTTTTTATTTTATTTTATTTTATTTTTATTTTATTTTTTCAACTGTTTTGTATTTTCATGTGAGTTCATCTACCACTGACCCCAATTAATTTGAGATAAATGTGATGTTGATGTTGATGTTGAATGGATGTAATTTTTATAAATTAAATTCACTAGAACTGACTAACTAGCTATTCAATAGAAAATTAAGTATTTAGGTTTTTGTTTTTTAGCCCGTTCCATTTTAATTTGGAAGTTCCACCATGAAATTTGTCTGTGCTTGTATTTTCGGAATATATGTGTTTGACCTGTTATAATTGATTTCATTGATAGTACAGATCAGTGTTAAGAATGTGGCTTTAACACTCAAGAAAGTGGTGAATTAAGTAATACAAAATTTTCATAAATGTCTCATTTTTGTTTCTAAAATATCATTTCAACCAAATTTTGATATATGAAATGCTTATAAATGCATTCAAGCAATTCATTGTATATTATCTATTAAAATTTTATAAAATATACTAACACATACAAGATACCAAGGAATAACTAAAATAAATAATTAAGGGTTTGGAAGAATGCAAATTTGGTTTATCTTGATTTGACTAGTACCACTTGTAACCTATGTTCAGATTGCAACCACTCAATAGTTTTCCATTATTTCACCAAATCTCCATTCATGGAGGATAAAAGATTTGCTTTGAACCATATTAGAAGGTAAAAGAGAGAAAATAAAAAATATTGATTTCATTGATCAAAGTAATTAATTTGTACAATGAGACTCTTACATAAAAGAGCATGAATGTTTACCAAAAAAAAAGAGCAAGAAAAAATTCTAGAGTATCATTGAAATACTAAACTAGCCTTATACCTAGTATCTAATATAGCTCTTAACTTAGAATGGACAGGCCAACATGGAGCATCCACCAGTCCAACCAAGCATAGCCAGAGCTTATATCCCATCACCTTGTTTGCCGCCACTTGAGTTACAAGCTAGCGTTGTTCAGCTCGAAATGCATACAGACATGTCAGAGAATTATAAAGACATTTAAGTCTAGCTCGACTCAGCCTATTTATAGAACTAAATTTACGCAAAATAGATATATAAGAATCTGGGAAGAGAGAGATTTTTAACTCACGTGATGATTCACTCCTTATTGGATTTTTATCTTAAAAATGATGTCATGGACATAAAAACATTCTAGGTCACACTGCATAGAAAAAGAGAAAAAAATTAAAATGGATCTCACATCTTTTTGAGTGAGTAGAAAAAAAAAGTGTCATATGACTTCTATTTCTCATAGTTTTAGAACCCAGTTGGTAGATAGCTGGGTTCCTTAAGCATGCTAACAAGGGTTCGATTCCTGATCGTGCGTATGGAAAAGGTTTTGTTGAAAAAAGTTTACCCGCTTAATATGAACTTCCGTTCGATTCCTGGCCGTGAGTATGGAAAAGGCTTTGTTGGGAGAGGTTTACCCACTTAACGTGATCTTCCATCTCGAAATAATTAGTCTTCGGCTGTCGGATACCTGGGAAACCAAAAAAAAAAAAAAACTTTTGCCGACCTATAAATATCAAAACGGTTACAAGATTGATCGCAAAGTTATTAAAGGTAATATAATAAGTTTTTTGTTTTAAAAATAAATTTTAATATAGAGTTATATAACCAAAAAAAACTTTCGTCAAATTATTTAATATCCAAACGGTTACAAGATTGAATTCAAAGTTGAAAAAAATAATATAATGAGTTTTTTGTTTTAAAAAATTAAATTTTATTATACATTTTTGTCAACAACAAAAAAAACGCTTGTCAACTTATTTAATTTCCAAACGGTTACAATATTGAATGCAAAGATAGATGTATTTTTTTTTTAAATACTATTATTATACAACCTATGTAGCACCGATACGACACGCGACACGTGACACGACACTCCGACACGTCAATCTTAAAAAATTATGGATTTCGACACGTTGGGACACGTTTTAATATTAAATAATATTTTTAATTTATATAGTGCATATTTCATTTAATATTTAATAATTTAACAAAAAAAGAAACTAAATTAATAATACCCATCAACACATTATAAAGATGGAAGCTTTAATAAAAAAAATAAGAACTGAGATGAGAGAGATATATAATATCAGATAGAGAGATCAAATCATATTAGAGAGAAATCAGAGAGAAGAAGATACAACAAGAGTGTGATAGGAATCGACAACAATAATGCTGAGATGATCTCTTATCTACTTAAGGGGAAAAAAGACAAAAAGATAAAATTGATATGATCAGGTGGAAGCTTTATTAATATATTTTAACTTTTAAAAAAAATATTTAAATTTTTTTTTAAAAAAAATTAAAAAAAATTACGAAAATGTCATTTGACCGTGTCGGACACGGTCAAATTCGCATGTCGGAATGGTCAACGTGTCGGAAAAAGTCAACCGCGTGTCTGACACCGTGTCGGAGCGTGTCGCCGTGTCGGAGCGTGTCGGACCCGACTCTTCCTGTTTTTACAAGTGTCCGTGCTTCCTTGTATACAACTATAAAAGAAAACGTTCGTCAACTTTTGTTATAATATAATAATTTTTTTGTTTTAAAAAATTAAATTTTACCATACAATTTTGTCAACATAAAAAAAAAACGCTTGTCAACTTATTTAATTTCCAAACGTTTACAATATTGAATGCAAAGATAGATGTATTTTTTTGTTTTTTTAAAATACTATTATTACTTACAATTTTTTTTTTACAACCTCTTACAACCATATCTTAACATCGTTGATTTGCGAAAATTAATGAGTTTAATTTGCGAAAATTATAACCGTTGATTGACGGAAATCAACGATATTAAGATAAGGTGGTAAGAGGTTGTAAAAGAAAAATTGTAAGTATAACCTTCCTCTATTATACAACTATAAAAGAAAACTTTCGTCAACTTTTGTTATACCCCTTATACGTATGTATGTTTTTTTTTTTTTAAGAATTAACCTAACCCAATTACTTCTTCGAGGTTAATATGCATAATGTTCTAACAATGTGATGACCGAAGATAGATCCACCCAAGGTGGGAGTTTTCAGAGGTGGAACTTGGAGTGTTAAAATGTTTACATGATTCTGTCCATATACTTTCACACAATCTAATGAAATAGTGACACTGCACAACCTCGGCAATCTGCAGAAAGAAAGACAATATGTGGCCATTTTAATTGCATTTGCGGGACTCATTTATTACATAACAACGTTTTAATTCGAATTATTCAGATTTACAGAACAGAACATCGAATAAAAAAGAGAAACACAGAATATCTTCAATCCTCAACCGATAAGCTTGAAATGCTCTAATTGTCTCGACTTCAACCATGGAACGTTCCAAATCAATGACCTCCATGGTTATGAAATACAGAGTGGAAGAAACCAGATGTTGTTTTGCACTTACCACCTTTGCAAATTTTAACACTGCATTCTATTAAGCAAAGACAAATTTTAACACTGCACTCATAGACTGAAGACAGAGACATTGCAAAGAAACACAGACTTAATAGAACATTTCAAACATATTCAAATTAAATATAAAACACATATGGTAAGAAATTATAGAAAAGGAGTACCTCTTTCTTGTTGTGTTCGTTCACAGCAAAACGAGCAAGTTCAACAAACTTAACGTCGTTTTCTATCCCGTGATATTCATGAGTAGCACCCTCCATTTCTCAGAAACAAGCGAGCATACCAAGCGGAATCGATCACTCTCGCTCTATGTTAGTGTTGAAGTGCAAAGTTTGCCCACCAATTGTTG